TAATAGAATTATTTCATCGTGAACGAACTATGGATCTAATTTACTAAGACACATTGAAGTTACAGCGTGACAGCACAAAGACATGCTGCAGCTACAGTACATTATCAGGGCTTTCAGGTTCTTTATCTGTCAGTATGATTAAGCAATTTCATTATTTAAAGCTGTAATTAAGCCATCCATATTTTTGAAACCTATTGTGAAAATAAGTATTACACATTACGAGTTTCAAGGCTCCAAAAGCAGCTCACAGCTTGTGTGCAAATTAGTTTACAAACTCTTATGCTACACTGCAGTGTTGGCACAATGCAACAGTGAATATACATTATATAAAATGGTTCTTATTTGAAAACTGAGTATCTTATTTTCTAATGCAGTTATTTTCTTGTACTCCGTAAGAGAAGAAAAAAGATTCTTGTTCCAGGATTTTTTTTCACTGTGCTATGGCAATGCTAGATATGACACAAGAATTTCTTGAAGCCCATCTTTGATCATTAGGCCATTAGGCCCCAGGGCGTGTGGCTGGTTACTCTGCAGGGTGGTGACTTGGGTGAAAGACTCTTCAGGACGGGCAGTTCTCTGAGGTGAAGGGAGTCTCTTCTTGTGGAATAGATGTTGGTAGACAGTCGGAAATAGCATGGTCTAACAGGGAAAACATTTCTGGCCAATATCCAAAGCAGAATTAATGGCAAGAGGGAGTCATTTGTACAGCTCAAAGACAGGTGCTGGTTTGAGAAGAGCATAATATTAATAACGTGAAATTCTGGCAAATGAAATAAAATGGTAGATCACATAATGGTCAGACTGCAGAGAACTCAGTCTACCACACTTAGCAGCCTAAATGGAAATCTTCCTGTTGTATTGTTGTCCATAAATCCAGCTACTATTATTATGCTAGGAAACTGAAGATTACAGAAATCAAGTTCTTTGCTATTGAAATGTGCTTTAAAATGGAACTAGAACTTAATCTACTAATCTTCCCTTTTTATATTTTAGCCATTACATTTTATTTTCTTATATTTTTTATTCATATTGTAGTGGATGTACTTGGTGCAACCTTGGCAGACAGAGGTGGACTTTATATGTCCTCTTAAAATTCTTTCCAGCCCTATTACGTGTGACTCTCTAATTAATGCCTAATATTTTAAAAGTACATTATTATGGTTACTAATGTTTAATGAAACTTATATCAGTAATTTGTCATGTGAAAGTGACCATATTAACAATTCTACACCTAAGGCTGTAGAAGACATTTAGCATTAGTATGGATTTGTCAGTTCTCACTATACCACCTCCCTAGATCATCGAAGCCAATTTTCTTATTTCTTGGGATATATTAGGAGTGACTGTGGTGGGTAAACCAAATCTTTGTGATTTACATGATTTTGAAGAAAGATCAATTTCACTTTTCACAAAGAGCTCTACTTTTTTAAGATATTGACTGTCTTAAAACATAGATTTAAAACCCACTTTTTTTATTCACCAGACTTTCAGGAGAACCGATATCTATTGGCCATATTGAGCTATTAGGATATTAGTGGGCTTATTTGCTGCAGAAAGTAAAAAAGTCCCGAGGGCTGTATTAAGCACCTGGAAAGCTTATAAGGTGTTTATAAAGTGCCTCTGCTGGGTTAAACCTGCCCCATTTTCAACACAACTGCTACTGTACTGGCTGAGAATCTACACTTTTGCTTTCTTACCAAACAAATACAGCTCTGTACGAGTAAAGGGAATGGCAGCAGCTTCTAAATAAGGTCGGGATAACTGTGCAGTTTTCTAATCCAATGCCACCAATTAGAAATGAAGTCTTCAAAATGTGCTTGGATCCATGAGCTTTGCCAGAGCATGACAGAGCCAGGCTTACTTCAAAACTTAACATTAACCAGTATCTCAGCCTTGATTGTGTTACAAATAATTGTGAATCCATTTATAGTTTAGTAATACTATTAATGCTGGCTAGAAAATGGAAATCCTTATGAATAATTTCATGTCTTAAGAGCATTTTTTACTTTAGAGTTGCATGGTCTTTGTAAGGAGGAAATGAACCCTACAGAAGCTTTCTAGGCAGGCAAAAACAGGATCCTCACTTGCGTTTTCTATTAGCAGAAATTGTTTTCCATTGAAAATGTCCATTTAGAAGTGCAACTTTAATGTTAAAAATTGCAACTTTATTGACTCATAATTTCAGGAAAATTACTGGCGTGCTTTTAGTATTATTATTGATAGCTGAAGTATTTTTATTAGTATTACTTTTTTTTAGTATTTGCATGTCATAAAAATCCTACATCAGCAAGTAAATTTCAAAGCAGAAACATCACTATGACATATCTGTTGCACAAAGTTCTGTCATCTTATAGCATACCTTCTAAGTTTTGAAGTATCCTCACAGCATCCAATTGAGTTCCTATTCCTAATTTACTCACGCCTGCTCGAAATTAGATGGAAAGCTGCAGGCTGATCCTTCACAGATCTTCCAAGCCCTGAGCCAGTATTCTTCCAAACAGGCCATTAATAGTATTCAAGACACTGAAGAATTTTAGTGCATTTTTTGAAGCAGTTAATCAGGGTTCAGGGTCTTGCTAAGTTATTTTCCAATCTTACAATGATTGTTTTATTACAAATTCAGCCTTTTCCCTTTCAATTTGTTTACTCCAATTAACCTGTGGACTCAAGTTTGTTCAGAGCAATTTACTGTTGTTGTTGTAATTGGATACACAGCCTGCATGGCATTTCTTATTCTTTGCTTAAGTGGCCTCAAGCTCTCTCTCACTGAGGTCCCTCTGCTGACATCATTGGATTTGGATGCACTCCCGAGGAAGGGTTTTCTGGCCAGCGCACAGACCCTGATTTCAAATTCAGTCTTCATTTTCTGTGTTCTGAATATTTAACTGAAGGTGGCTCAATTAATGAAGATTCTTGCAGTAGCTTACCGCCCAGTGCTCAGTTAAAGTAAATAGAAGAAGAATTGGGGTCACAGTTAAGTGTATTACAGTTCAAACAAAAAATGATTTTATTAATGTAACTCTAGTGTGTCTGCAATAGAAGACCATACTACTTTGTATGCAGAGGTAACAGGAAACGTCCAGTTTCCTTCAGGTAACTGCTATAAGAGACCTTTCCGAATGTCAGACTTGGTTTCCTTGTAGTGCTGTTCTTCCTTGACTGTCACTTTCTAGTTCAAGTGGACTAATTGTGTTTTGCTTTCAGAAATACACAGCCCTCAGTTGGAATACCATTTACCTATGGACTTATCTTTAAGTAGTTGATCAGTTACAGTGGTTTTCATTAAACTACCCACATGCTTACATACAAAAGCCTTGCTAATTTGAAGTTTCAATTGGAATTATCATACTTGTTAAGCAGTTTGTTTTGTTAAGTAATTTGGCATCAAAAGTCAGCCTAGTCAAAAGTTTACTGGTAAGCCTAGTCATCATTTATCTTGATGACCAAAAGTCTTTGAAATAAATCTGCAGCTACATTAATCACCAGCTAATTAAAACACAACCATGCCCTTCTCACTCACCTTTCAGTTTTGTGTTACACATAGCAATGGCTTGGACTTATGGAAACACATTTAGGCTGGCAGAGTCTTTCAAGAGAGGTTTTCTGCAAAGCCTTTAGTTGCTTGCCTTGGAAATTTTCAGGAAAAGAATAAAGCCTGTTTAATTTTCAGCACACAGCTTTTCATTAAGGCTCAGGAAATCAAATAATCCTCTGATCTCTTATGTGCTCAAACTTTCTCATCAGAAATGCAGAAGAACTTGTAAGGTTCCACAGGTTGAAGTAGGTCCCCCTTTACTCACGACCCTGAGAGTTGGGTGACTAGCCTTCCTTTCAGCCTTTGAAAGCCTTCTGCCATCCTTCAAGCCAATGAATCGGTCCTTGATATATATATATATGGTCTGACATATCTTGTAATCATCCACCAAAAAACCCTTTATCCTTTAAAATTATGTGGACTCAAGTACCTTGTTCTTTCTTTAATTCCTTAATTTTGTAGGCTTTATATGAAGTAACATCTGCTTGAAAATTTGAAAGAAAAGATCAACAATTCAATATTTCCCAAAATTGGCACACTAAATATATCGGGTTCTGCTAGAAAGGCCTGAGTTCCCAGTTGTGGAAGTGCTACTTTTAAGCTTTGATATAAAAAGCTTAAAAGTACCTCTCTGACCACTATTGATACGACTTTTTTGAAAAACATCTCCCTTGAATTGCATGCCTTGAAAAATCCTGTGTATCAGTTTCCAATTTCACCACCTCTGCTAACAGCAAAAATATTCAGGTACTTATAGTCTAAGAGTATCTTACAAAAATATTTATTTTAAACTGAAACATTAATTTAATAGGGCAGATGTATGCTGCACAGTCAGAGTGTACCTGTGCTGAAGGCACACAAGGTATATTTCACAGTTTTATTTTTAAATATAAAATGTCATGGAAAACTGAAAACTTCTTATTTTATTGTCATTATTTCCAAATTTCAGTTCAGCTGGTATTTTAACTATAAGCTCAGAAAACTAAATGAAAGCTTTGCTACATTGGATTACCCATGCAGTCTCTTGATGTATCATATGTACTCATATGCATTGAGAATTAAGATTATGTCTAGAGTAACAGAGTGTGAAACCTGAATGACACATTAATGGTGTCTTACCTCATGCCCGTAATTGGAAAATCAGAATACAAACAAGTCTTTTTTAGTAGCCAGAAGAACTGCAGATGTTTCTTTTCTGTGTTTTTTTCAATATGCTGTACTCTAAATTTAAAGTACATTATTATTTTGCATAGCCAGTGATGCTGTCCTCTTAACCTGATCAGCAACAGGAATGCTACGTAAAAATTACCAATTCCTGTGCACTAAGGGATGGGTGGGTGTGTGCTTGTTGTGCACTTGAGGGAAGCACCAGCCCCACACTGTTCGATGCTCTTATAGATTCACTTTGATAGTTGGCTGCCCCAGAGAATTGCCTTTTCTCTGACAATAAATAAGCTATGCTTTCAGCTGTGATTTTGGTATGACAGATACAGTGTAAACGTGATCTCTCATATCGAGTGCATCCTGTCTTCACCCTCTTCAAACGTGTTTAGTCATCATCAGGAAATACTTGATATTTTCTTGTAGAGCTAAAATGTGAGAGGATAAAAGTGTTAAATGAAAACGCAATACTTAAAGCTTATGATTCAGAAGGTGCTTTGTCATACTTTAAGAAAAAGAGTAAATATTTGAGAAAAAAAGAAATCTCAAAAGGATATACAGTTCTCCTCTACACATCTCCAGGTACAGATAGACAAGAGATTTAGGGTTACATTTCAAAATATGTATTTTGCATATATTTTGCATTTTCAATGATTTTTCCATAAAAGGCAAACCCGAGAATACTTTTTTTAAAAAATCAAAGTCTTATTTTATATTAATGGTTTCATCTGTCACCCATTAATATCTGTTCATCTGCTACTTACCTGAGTAAAAGGGCGAGGGAGGCATTTTTATGTGAACTTAATTTCCATAAAGTTTTCTATACAAATTTATCAAAAACCTCAGCCATCTCACATAATTTTTATTCACAGCATAGAAGTTGGGTTTCAGAAAGAACATGAGTCCATGTATTTCCTGTGCAATGGTATAAAGTAGCTCAGGGTTGGTGGTGCTACAGTGGATATTAATAACAAACCAAGTAGTGCAATCACTAGCCCTGGGCAAGTAAAGTAAATTCTGAGATAGTACTGTAATGATTTATGGGTATCGTTCATTAATATTTCAAATATACTCCAGTTGCTGAGTGTAACCTACCTATATGTCATGCTGTACATACATAAACCCAATTCTGATCTCAGTTTCATTGTTAGAAGGAAAAGGTCATACAACTGAAAATGTCTCATGCATGCAAAATTCCCAATAACTGTAGTATTTAGGGAATGACAGAAGTTCTGTATCTAAAATTGGAATTGGACCTCATGTGTTTCCACTTATCTTTTTGGAGTTATCTACATTTATGATTTATGGAATTTATGGTCTTGATAGCAATGGATAGGCTAAATCAGAATTCTTTGGGGCATTTTGCTATATAAGGTGAACGTTCACTTTATGGTACACAGGAAAATTATTGGCCAGAGTTACTTTTACTGTTGCTTTAGCTTACCTCTGGATGGTCGTAATTACTTTACAATATGTAAACTGAAGAATGCTTATTGGTGTGTGTCCACTTCATAGCCTTTTTTTTATCTTATCCCTTTGTGTGCTAAATCTATTCTATAAATTAAATTTTAAGTTCAGCATACTATCTTTGAATTAGGGCACAAATGACTTCAGTACCTGAATGGAATGTAGCAGGAAACACTAAAATGCTGTTGTCAATCATGAATTGAGGAATACTTACAAAGAAGCAATGAAATTCAAGCTAATCCTCTCCATGAGGAGTAGTACCTTTCAAAAAAAGCATGAAGCTGGGTCCTGGGTCGGACTGAGAGTGTTGGAAGGGAGAAAAGCAACAGTGGAGCACCAGGGTATGTTGAATACGAGGATCTCTGAATCATATGAGAGAAATACAGCTAGAGCTTTATTTCTTGCTATGAAAACATAAAAATGAAAGAACTACTGGGAAATGCAGAGGGATGAGGTAGAGGGCCAAAGGAGGAAAGGGGTGACTATAGATAGGAAAAAGGAGGAAATGAGTACGGGAAGTGGAGAGAAGAGGGGTTGATGCTGCCATTCAAAAGTCTGTGCTTTGTTTCCAAAGAATAAGATTTTACTGAAGAATCACATGATATCATTTTGGGGAAAGCAAACTGTACTGCTGAGATAACAGGTAAAATGAATCACTTAGCATCTGCCATTCCTTGTTTTAATTGTGAAGTGGCCATCAGTAGAATCATAGCAAAATGAAAAGGAACAGAACTGCAGATAAATAAGAAATGGCATTTTCTGGCATTGAAGAAATCAAAAAGAAGTATTGAATGGGTAGTTCATGTTGAGGGATATTTTATTTTCTGCTGTGACGGACAGAGTTTCCATCCCAAATTACCTTCTGACCCTGCCAAAGGTTCTAAGGATGTTAAGAGGGAATATCTACTCTTGTTCCATGCGACTTGGTTTGGGTCCTCAGTATTTAGATTTTGTTTTCCTCTTTTTTCTTTAAAAAAGTGATATACAATTTTGAAAACAGCTGAACCATTTTTGTCACATTTTGTCAAACAAAAAAGGTGCATTTTTCGGTGGTTTTTTTTTTTCCCTGAAGAATCAGTTGTCCCATTTCCAGCAACAGCAATTTTACCTTAGGATGATGTCTGTAATCTAGTAGCCATTTTCCAATCAGCAAAACAGTGCTTCACAGGGAAAATTTCAGCCAGCTCAACTGTGTAGAAATGTTTGAACTTTAGATAATTATTTAATGATGCCCATAAAACTTTTAGGGTTTGTGCAACGCTGATATTGAAAATTTCTTCAGACAGGCTATTTGTTTTATGTCCCTAATGTCAACCCAGAACTATTCTGGAATGCAGGCCTTCAGTGCTGACTTGTTTCCTCCCATTAAAGCACTAAGAACATGATTGTGATTAGTACTGAAAGCAAGCTATAGACTGACTAAATAACATTCTCTGGCAAAGTCACAAATATAGCCGATACCCAATTACCTCTGTACAGTATATAACATATAATCAGCCTGTCTGCAAAATGCCAGCTATGTAATTAAAGGCCCAGCAGTTACAATTTCAGTAAAGAGACTATGCATAATATTTGGGTTGTGTAATTTCCTGACTTATCTTTGAGTATAAATACAGAAGCATGGCTATACAACCATTCTTCATTTTACAGAAATTATTAAGGTAGCCAAATATGACTCACTGCCACCTTTTATCTGCAATAAAAACAAAATAGCACTTGCTTTCTCTGTATTATGTCCGAATTAGCTGCTGGAACTGAAGTAAATACAACACTGATTTGTATGGGGAAGGAGCCTCTATTTCTTACGTGATTTTCTGCAGTTATAGCTACCTCAATCTCAGCTACAGCAAGATTCAAAATTATTATAGTAGCGGGCTCCCATACAGATAACACTGAGTTTGGAGGTATCCGCTCAATGTGAGAGTTGTGTAAGAGCAGGAATTCTTTTATCTCTGATTTGCACTGTGCACCTTCAACACAGCAAGTATCTTTCAAGTATATCACCTTTCCCAAAATGTGGAAATTCTGAAAGGGTGTTTAATGCCTGTGTCAGCTCTATCGTCTTTTGCTGAGTACGTTGAAAGCAACCCTTGCAAGCTCGCAAGCAGTGTCAACACTTCCTTCAGATCTAGCAAGCCTTTGAAGAGGGATTTGCCAGGTGATGGAAAGCCTTCAAAGAGCCAGCAGTGCCATTTTCAGCAATAGAGGTCATTAGCCCAAGGGAGTGTTCTGGTGGACTTTCTTCTGTGTGCAGACTACCCGGCCCAGGAATCCTGGTATTTTCCAGATGGTAGGTGAGAACTGAGATATCAAGACTGGATATTTATTTCATGAATGAAAAATAGCACAAAGCACTTCTTGTGGGATTTGAATAGCTAAGGGGAGCCTAGTGCTTTGGTTTAACAAAGTGAGTGATGTGTGTAGGTGGGAATGTGTGAGAAGGAGGAGGAGAGAGGAGGTCTCGTCAGAGCCTGTTTTTCAGAGCCGAGGCCAAGTGTTTCCCCTCAAAAGCAAAGCAAACAAGCCACAACTAGCCTGTTAGCTGTGTCTCTGGAGTCTAGTTTGCATTAATCATACTCTCTGCACCTTCATAACATGTCTAAGTAACTGACTGAAACAAGCATTGTATTTGTTCAGACACCAACAGCAAGGGAAGGATCTATCATCCTGTTTTGAACAGTGACAACCTCCTTTTTCTTAGTGCAACCTCTGTATGCTCAGAGAGAAAAAAATACTGGGTTATTGAACACCCTTCAGGAGTACGGCCAGATTTCTCAGCTGCCTGAAAACTCAGTCCTTGGAGCAGAGGGCAGTCAGGATGCCTGACTTAAATATAGTCTTTAACATTTGAGTATTAGTATTTCGGTCAGGTTTATAGAAAGCAACATGAAAAAATGCAATATATTAATATTTGAAAGGTAATTGCAAAGTATAGGAGGGTTTTGTATTAATTTTGTATTTTTAATTAAGTATTATTAGCATACAGAAAAGTATTTCCTTGGTTTTCTAGCAAATAATACGTTTCATTTAGTTCACGACTAGAACTCCATTTGCATCCATACACATCACTGAACTCTCTGAAGAGTAAAAAATAAGTTCATTGAAAATCTCATAATAGAAATATCTAACAGGCAGAATCCCTGCACGTATCATCAGAGCAGAAGGCAGATCCCAGAGATGACAGAAAGTGGTTTAAATTCCAGATAAGATTCAAAGATGAATGATGAGGCCTCATGAGTGAAATAAAGTAGAGTTTTACATATGCTGTCTTGAGGTGGGAATAAACTCACAGACCAAAAGCTTGTTTCAAATGTCTTTGAAGATAGTTTCCTCAAAAGCCCATACTTAATTTCAATTTTTGTTATACATCAATATTAGAAAGGACATTAAAAATGCAAGAATGTAAGACTAACGCGATCTCGGTCTCAATGTATATGAAAACATTATCCCTAATCTATTTGGTCACTTATTGCTGTATTCATGGTCATAATGTGTACCTTTTGGTAATAAAACAGTTTCATGCTTTGTAAAAGAATTAATATTTAAAATTCAAAAACATAATTGAAAACTTCAATAAAATAATGTCAGTCAGATTTCAGGACTCAGACTATGAAACAAATGAGGCATTTGGGCTATTTCAGTCAGGTAGGAGGTGAAATGGTCTGGTGGTTTTCATTGTTTTCCTTTAATGTTATTCTTGTTTGTTAAGTGGGAATATGCTCAGTTTGTGAATTATTCTCAAAGACATTTATCTCCCTAAGTCTTTGCATTTTTTAGTCTCCGATCATGTACATAAAAAATTGCATATATAACAGTTATAGTAGCTTCTGTAATTCAAAGAGATGTTTAACAGAAAATTTATACTGACAAATCACAGTGTAGATCAATATCTGGCATATAAATGAAAAAAAAATCATATAAGTCCTTTAAAGTTGGAGGCAGAAAATTAAGCTTGTAATATTTATACTGGCTAAGCTTTTGGTTCATCTTTTTATTTCTCAGATTTAGTTGGATAAGGGTTGATTCAACTTGATTTAAAGAAATGTTACCATGTTTCATTATTAGGTGGAAAGTTCATTCATCTCAGAATATTGATCATTCATTCCACTTAGAAAGTAGTTGTTTCCCTCCCTGATAGGACCAAGGCAATACTTCATTGAGCCTGACAAACTGCAGCCTTTCATGGTGGGAGATACAATGCCTCTTTCCTCCCTTCCTTTTCCTGCTCCCCACAGCAGTAGATTTCAAGGGGCAAATCCATGCTGCGTTTCCAAAGCAAAGTTCTTTGCATTGTCCTTAATAGTTTTATTTATTCTTTTATATGTGCAGATAACTCACCTGTGGCATGTTGGAATGCTCTGCAAATAAACAGCAGTAAACATGAGATTAACTGCTAGATCTCAGAGCACTTTACAGAGACTGTCAGCGTAATTGTTCCTTTTAAAATGGGAAACATTTGGGAAGGAGGGAGAGTGTCCAATAGAACGCTGCTTTTAGTTTGTCTGCTAAAGAGGTATGAATGGGTAGGATGATCTTTTGAATAAAAATGACAAAGAGCATAATTCAAGTTCCCACTTTAATAGAACTGGGATATTATAATTATTTTCATCCATAAATATTATGTATAAATGTATAGAGGCTGATCAAATGCTGATAATTATTTTAAAAAACCACATAGCTTGCTTTTCTAGATCATCTTCTGGCTTTGGTAATAGGAAGAGCTTCCACTGGCCAAATATCATTTTACAAAGAGTAAATTTTCTTGCGCCAATTCTGATTTTTCAAGTACTTAGAACTTTTCAAGATAATTAAAAAGGAGTAAAAGGGAAGCTCATGCCTTATTGGAAAACAACACGAGGTTAGCATTCCTCAGCCTTGTTTTAGCCTTATTTAAGCACTTGTTGAAATTCATTTTAGACTGTAGCTTTTAATACTCACTGATATGAAGAAGGTGGTAATGGTAGAGCATGGACATAGAGAGTAGCGATGAGTTTTGGGCTTCCTGTGTATGTATTTTTATTTTTTATTACCAACTTAGCACCACAAATTTGATTACATCTCATTCATGTTGTTTGTTTTTAAATTTGGTAAGTATTCATTTTATAAATTATTTGGGGTTTTCTAATAGAGATTTATGAGCCTTAGTAATAACCCTTATAGTATATAGTATTTCAAATGGATCCTCGTTCTCCTAAGTTTAGTGGCATCCATTGGTATATTTTCCCCTGAAATATACAAAATATCTATGTCTGTAAGATATTTGCCAGAACTTCTTATCTGCTTATTTGGTGTATTTTTGAGCAGGAATTGCAGAGGAAATGTTATGTGGACTTGTACTATTAGCATATATTTAGGTTTGTGCATTATGTATAGAGCTCCTATCTAATGATGAATAGAGCTCCTAGCCTGAAAGCATTATGTGACTTTCCCAGTAGTAATGCTACAAATAGAGGAATGCCACACTTAAGGTATCTTTTGGCATTTGACTAAGATGTGTTTAGTTTGAAAAAATTGCGATAAGCATTATATTAGAGAAGCTGAGACAGCTTGTTGTTCCTGTTAGGACTGCACATGGTACACTTAGATAATGCAGGGCTTTATTTTTATCATTTTGCTGAAATGTAATTGCAAAATTCTCTAGTGGTTTAATGCATATACAGCTAAATTATCTCTCAAGCTGAACTTCTGTTATTGTATGTAAACAGGTGGTAAAAGCATGGGGTTTTGGCCATAGTATATGCTTCTTTTTCAAATGCTAAGATCAGGTTGGGGTCACCTCAGCCTAGCTCAAGATACTAAATTTGGATCTCCATTTTAACTGCCTAATATCGTTGCTAAGTGAGCTTTTGAAGGTTTTTTGCTGATGAAACCTGAGGGGACTGGAGGTCTCTCTAAAAGTCTTCAAAGTAATGTACATTTTTCTATTGACTCTACAAGGAATTTAGCTACCTGTTTTATGAAGAGGAGACATACTAAAATGCACATCCCACTTAAACACCTAAAGTGTACATGAAATCATTTGCCCCTTCCTCTAGCCCCAGGTGACTCGTGGACTGTATATTTATTTTTATAATCCCTAAAAACTAGAGAGAAGGAACTATAAAGTGTTTGGATCAAAAATATCATTACTCAAAGAGATTGAAAAGCATGTAATTGGTCATAATTGGTTATGGTTAGTTAAGTGTAAAAAGCTAAGCAGAAATTGTCTACTTTAGGTGTAGGCAATACAGAGTTTACTTCTGATAAACATTGCTATAAATGGTAGTTTACTCACCTTTCAATTTCCTGCTACTCTGTTGATGAATGAATGTGGAATTCAAACTGTTCATCTGAGTGTTCTTAAAGAAAAATGTTTTGGTTTAGTAAGGACACAGGATTTAAGGGATTCAGTGAGCTCATGATCCATTGATAAATTTTGAGTGGTTCTTTTGAGATTTACAGATGTTCTGTGACATCAGGAACATCAGGCATACAACAGCTGGGTGCGGAACAGGCCTCAAATGTATGTGGTGTAACTTTTGGAAAACTAGTTCGAAGGCAAAGCCAGCACGCATTATTAGGCTACAAAACTGAGTCTGAACTCACAGCTTGTTGTTGATACTAACGTGCAGAGTTCATCTAGAGTATTTGCTGTGGGTTCTATTTTATTAATTTTCTACCATGTTATGTTTTATTTTATTTTGGGAACTTCTGTGTAGAATGCACATGGAAATGAATTCATTTATGGAAGAGTTGTATTTGTCCTAATGAAGATTTAGATTTTTTTGGCCACCACTAAAGGAATATTTTATAGAATGCTAAGAAGAAAACCTGATGACTCTGGGCTTTTTTTGTATGATGAACATTTTCTGGTACCTAGTAGACTCTTCTTGCTTAAGAGGGCTGAAAACAAAACAGTTATCTAATACTCCTTTGAGATCACTTAGTCTGACAAACAGTTGGACTACTAAGTGCTGTTTGAGTTTACATCAGGGTACTTCTCTGCTTTTTGGTAGTTCATGATCAGTGCTGTTAATTAATAGGAAAAAAAAAAGGTAAAAAAAAAAAAAAAGTAAAATAACAGTACCTGTATGAGTTACTGTTCAGTAAAGCTTTCTGTTAAAGGTAACAAGTGTTATAAGATCAAAGAGCAGCCAAAATGGAAACCTTTTTTAATTATTATTATTTAGACAACAGTAGAGAAAGTTGCTAACTGCTTATTTAACTGGTCTACTCACCTCCTGAATTTCTAACCTCTGCTGAAAATCAGTGCTGCTTCCTCCATTGGGCATTAGTTTTTGAACGCCTTATGAGAGGGGAATATGGCTTCTGAAACAGGGTGCCACTGCAACTGCACCCATTATATACTCATTTAAAGACCACCCCTCAGCCTAGAAGGCCTGGAAAGAGGGGTGGCCTAATTCAGAGCACCATCTTCAAACAATGTTCACTAGGCTTAGTTACCTGAGAGAGGCGGAGAGAGGGGCAGAGAGTTTAATAACCAGGAACAATTTCCTTACTGATGAAGAATAATCAATATATTACTTCCTAATCCCATGACTATTTCTTTATGGGATCATATAACAGTTTACACAAATAATTTTACCTTATATTACCTACCAAGACTTTGTTGTGAGGTAGAGGAAGGAATATCAATAATAGTTTTATTTAATAGTATAGTTAACAGTTATCAGTTTTCTGTTAGTTATGCTTAACTTCAGTACTTTAGTTTCAACTTCAGTGCAACTCAGCTATAAAATATTTAGTTTCTGAAAACTTTTCATGTATCTTTGGATTCTCTGATAATTTCTCTTTTTTTTTTTAGAAGTATTTAAAACAATTTGTTCTGAGAAAATCTGTGAAAGTACCCTGAAGTCTTTACAACTAGAATAAGAAACTCACGACTGGTAGAATACTAAAAATTGGTCTAAGAAAATATCCACATTGATATGAGCTGTTTGAGGTTTGTTTCAGTGACTATACCATGTAGGTATTTTGAAAACAGTGTTCCCTTTTTATTTTAAAACATTGGAAATCCATAACTATTCTGCAAACCTATTTTCAAATTTATTTCACTCTAGGTTGTAATAAGAAAGAACAAAGTTTGTGTGAATGTATGTATATGCATATTTGTATATATATTATACATTCATACATGTATATGTACAACTAAAAGCTAGAAAGTATGGAACCATTGAATTGTTTTTAACACATCCTTCCCCACTCACTCATCTCTCAATCTTACAGTAATGTAAAAGTCCTTAGGTACAGTACAGAGTAGTCTAGTCTCTTCTGAGAGTCGGAAAGAAGAATCTTTCCAGGTGAATAGCCAGATACATTTCAAAATGGAATGGTTTCTGATGGAAAAGGACCAGCAGTACCATCATGCAAGATCTTATCAGGGGACTACAAAAGCTAAGAGATGTCTTTGATTATTTCCCCCTCCCCTCCTTTCTTTTTTTACAGCTAATGAATAGAGGTTTCCCATTAGATTATTTTATTCCGTTCAGTTTTTATAGTCTGAAGGTTGTTTTGCAGATGACTCAAGTGTCCTACGTGGCTGGAATAAAGTTGGCTTCATTAAATGATAGAGTAATAGAGTGGATATTGTGATTACAAAAGAGGGCACAGAATACTGTGATGAAAGACAGTGATCTACTCAGCCTGGCAGAAAGCCAACAGCACAAGGAACTAGGAGAATCTATCTAGTAAAGAGGTCAACGCTACAATTAACATCCTCTCTCTAGCATATGGGGCAGGTAGTTTAGACGAAAACAGATAATAAATCTTGGAAAACTCAGAGTCAGGTCTACATACTAAGCTCTTTTAAACTGAGGATGATACACAAATGAGATAAAAACTAACTCTCAGTAACAAATCATTTGCCCCAGTTGCCACAGGGTGACTGCAGTGTCTTTGTTCACCCTCTTCTTTGAGATGAAAGACATTTGCTGTGTCAGTCAACCTCAAAATAAAACACAGTACAGAGCTCTGCAAGATTCAGTTTTTTTATCTCAGGAAAATCAAAGATCAAAACATGTCTTACATCTGTAAGTCTGGCACTAAATACAGACTCACCTCTCTTAGCTGCTTGCTCTTCCTTCTTCATTCCTTTGAATGTACATGGAGGGGAGAGGGCTGAGGAGAGAGAGAAAGGATCACTTTTATTTGTCACTATAAGGTAAATAGGCATTTCTGATAAAATGCAACAAGGTGTTTCCTGCATCAGTAGCTATAAAGTATACCTGGCAAGCATGTTATAGAAATGTATTTTCAGGAATTAGTTTTGGACCAAATGGTATTCTTGGGGTATTTCTCAAGAAAAAAAAAAAAAAAAAAGTCAAAAGATTGTACTTCCCTCACCAAGTTTTCAGAATGATTTAATAGACATCCACACTACAGTTTGACATGTTAAATAAACTATACTGCATAATAAATATCAGAATTCAGGGTATTCTAATAACATATTCACTTATATTTTCTTAAGAATACCAAACAAATCTTAGGGCTGTTTTCTAAACAGTTTGTGAAGGTTTGTTTTTTTAAGTGGAAGTAAAAGTCTAAATTGCATAAACATTAAGCAGAAGAAAAAACATCAGCCAGACAGTGAGTAAACAGTAGAAAATACCAGTTTAGGAGGACTGTGATTAGATAGGTACTTATTTGCGTATGGCATTTACTTTAGCAAGGTACATGAGAAAATCCATTAGTTTTACTATACTCAGTATTTTTAACTGAATAGTTTATATTGAAATACTTGTTTTCTAAGGTTTACTAAATATAACTTTAAAACAACCAGCATTACATTGTGTTATCTTTTCAATTAGTGAGATTATAAAGGCAAAGCAGAGCCTCCCAATCCTTGACCTTCAGTTCCTCTGTTTCAAAATATACTGTCATGGAAATGTCTTCCGCTTTGCTTTGCTTTGCTTTGCTTTCTAAATAAGGTGTCAATATAGTGACTTATGAAGAGACTTTTAGGGTCATTATTGTCCAAGTTTAATATTGTCTGTCTGTGGGCATGTAACTGGTACCTCATTTAAGAGCTTGGAATCACTCCAACTGTGAGTGGAGCCTCGGAAATGAGATTCTTGTGGCTCTCGCCCACCTTAGTATAATCCCCAGAGGTTTCTCTTCCTTTTATGCATGCAGCCAGCGGTAGGGAGTACAAGCTGGGTTTCTAGTTTCCTCACCAAAAGTCCCATGAGGAAGCAGTAACTTGCTTAAGAATTGCATAAGGAGCAGAAGTCTCTCTTTTGCTTTTTGTGCTCAAATCTGAGCAGGGCTATGCAGGCTAAGGCTCAAACTACAAGTTTTATATGGAGGTTAAGTGTGCGACAGTATTCTTATGGAAAAAAACCTGAACTTGTACATTGTGATGGCACTTTTCAGTGTATCACCTGTTAATTTAACTGGTGGAAGTATATTGATTCCTTCTTTTCCCATATACAGTATATTTTTCTTCCAGCCTGCCTTAATTACTACATGCATAGGTATTTATTGCCACTTCAGAGGCAGGGCATATTGATTTTACAGACAGGGAAAAAAAGTGTCATGTGAGGGAGCTGCTGGAGGATAAATGTAGAAAGGGAAACCCAAAGAGATTGTTTTTTAAAAATCCAGTACATAATACAAATATTTTAGAGCTCTTTTTAAGAGGTTGTGGAGATATTGGGACATACTTGTAATATGCACAGCTCCACTTAGTGGTCAAAAATGTACTGACCCTTTGCCACAAATGTTTTAATCCTTTTCAGTTTCAGCAATGCTTGGATTAAGTAAAGCCAACACATGTGGCAAATCTCTGTCATAATGCACAGAGCCTATTACTGAGGTAGAACAAACAATGCTACAAGAAGTGACAATTTATATTACTGGATTAATTTGGTTAGTCTGTGTTTGCACTTTGCTTTTGTTTATTTTCAGCTCTTCCCCAAAATGAACATGCTGGCAGATTATACTGTAGTACAAAGTCAACTTGAAGTGCATATTTGTTGATTCTTACAACAGCAAATTTTTACTATAAAGCCTGTATGTTCACAGCAGAAAAATATATTTGTTCATTATATTAGAAAACAGAAATGCACTAGGTAACCCAGGTATTGAATGATGTGATGGGTATAAAGCCTGTATGTTCACAGCAGAAAAATATATTTGTTCATTATATTAGAAAACAGAAATGCACTAAGTAACCCAGGTATCGAATGATGTGATGGGATAATTAAAAAAAACCAAACAAAAAACCCAAAACCACAAAGAAATTATTAGGTGCTTATAGACAATGCGAAGAAGAGATAAAAAGTCAACTGTGTAATTTATTCCCCTATATCACTTAACCAGCTTTTGCAGGTAGCTCAACTACTGAAATCAAGAGAGAGCACCTGAGTTATAGCAAATGCATGGCCCTAAGGTATATTCTTTTCTTTTTTTAAACTAACATGCATTAATTGTAGAAGTCTGCGAATGAGAACTGACAATAGGAAAACAATTAAGATACTAAATGAGTTTCTAAAATAACAGGTAAAAGCTCATTCAACAACGTCTTTAAAGTTCCCATTCATCAAAGACAACAGTTATAAACACCACCCTCCCCACTCCCCCACCTCCCCCGAGTGGGACCGGAGAAAGCCTCCTCTATACTCACATTTGGATTGCCTTCATATGGAAAACTCATCAATCTTGTGCATAACGACTACACTGCCCAAGTTTCTTAAGAAATGTTATTTTTTTTCTTTTTAAAAATTACAAATATATTCAACTTTTTCACTTTTACTTTAAATCCACGACTACACTGCCCGAGTTTCCTAAGAAATGGTATTTTTGTTCTTTTTAAAAATTACAAATATATTCAACTTTTTCACTTTAAATTCATTGCCAAATATTTCCAAATTAATATATTTTTCAGGCTTACTTTCCTACAGTGGCAGTATTCGGTAAGTCCCAATTAAAGGTATAATGAATTTGTCTTTCAGAACTTTTAAGTCTGTTGCCTTTGAGCTCCATGTTTGTACGCAGTTTAGTGCTTTCACTCAGTGCTATAAAAATGTATCAAAAATATGTTCAAGAAAATCTATCAAAATATATTGGAACCATTAAAGGTCTATTTAGTGTCACTAACAGAAAAGAACAATGCAAAATTTGTAACATTTACAATGCTCTTTCAGAAAGGATATTTTGGAGATGGAAAGAAAAACATGTTGTTTTTTAAACTCAAAATAATATCCCTATCTCCATCCAAATATCATCTGTGTTCTGTACTCTGCAGAAGGGTAATGGGTGCCGTGCTTTGAAGCAGATTTACAAAGTGTGTGGCTGCTTTCAGAGCAGGGCAGAGGGTTTGATCTGGGTGCTGGAACTGAGTGGATAATGCTAACGCCTCCAAGCATAATAAGATCAAAGGGAGATTCCCTGCATTTGTTGTCTTCTTTAGTAAAGTGAGATAAAAATGCAGAGCCTGAGCTGTCTCTGCGTGTTTACAAAGTTTTCACAATGGTGACCTCCATCAGCTCTATTGACACATGCTTGCAAATAAGGAAACTATTCTATTGCTAAGGTTTTTATATAAGCGTTGTACATATTCTGTCCAGGAGCATACAAAAGATTTGAGGTAAATGTTTGGTTTGCTGAAGGACTTGCAGATTTATAAATATAGTAAATGTACATCCAAACAGAAAGTGGCGTTGTTAATAAAACATAACAATTATTAATAACATTAACTAATAATTGAAAAGCGTGATAATAACTCAGCCTCTTAATGAAGGTATGATGTGCTGCAACTCTTTATTAGTGGAAACAATGTCTTGTAATAATTGAAAAGCGTGATAATAACTCAGCTTCTTAATGAAGGTATGATGTGCTGAAACTCTTTATTAGTGGAAACTGTCTTCACCTTCTGCAGACTTTGCATTTTTCTAGACATGCACAAATATTGGAGAGGACATTTTTGTACAGTAACAGTGATACACTAAGCATGACTTACTTTCTATTATGCTACTTTACAAAAATATGCAATTTATAATCCCAAGTGTGCTCCTGACCTCCTTGCAAGCAGAGGTAAGCATTAGTATTCTCGCTGCTTGGGTATTGTAATCCCTGTGTGGATGTGATTCTTCCTTCACTAATGATCCCATTTTGCTATAAATGAGTATAACAGCCTTCTCCACTATAATCTTGATTATAGAGTGCCCTAAATGTTTAACTTATTGAAATACTACCAAACGGCAGAAAGTAGATTTATTGAAGAAATGCAATGAAGAAAAGACTCCTACTGATCTTATAAACAGTTACAGTTCTGTAAAGGACAGTGTCTCTTAAAGTGATGCTCTAGCAGATGTGCATCAGTTCAGGCAGGATCATTTATATTCTGCAAAGTTAGGTTGAACAAACAGTAGTGCACATTCTTTTTTCAATTTGAGTCACCTCTGCTGATAAGAATTCAATTGTAGAAGTGAATTAATTCATTCAATATTAATATTTAATGGAAATAATACTTAGATATTTACCATATAGAGGAAAAGAGAGAAGGCGATGTGAACACCTTTGCGATTTCTGTGTATATCTTCTATTCACTTTAAAAAAGTTAAGCTCTGTGTTTGCAGATTTAGAACACCTCTAGTCTGTGACAGAAATGCAAGTATTGGTCAGATTGGCCTCAGCAGCCCAGCTATTTGCAATGACTGCTACACCCTTAACTAACCACTGTCTTTTCAAGGCTTTAGCACATTAGTCACTGTCAGTCTCTTCCTCAGCCCAGGTACAGAGCGTGTCCCTCTGAGGAGGTGCACTAGCCCCAGTGCATTTCCTTTGGCATTTGACCTTTGGGCATGAGCACCACCACTACACAGCCAACACTCTGACATAGTTTAGGATTCTTTTTTTTTCAGAATATGCCAGATAATTTCTTCTCATGCACAACTATCTGAATTTGAATCAGTTACTAAGACTCAAATTAAGTCTAGTTTAAATGAGGATTAGTGAAAAAATGAGACCCAGTCAGCTGACCTGTTTGGTAGCAACATATTTCAGCAAACACATAACAGAAAGAAGGGAAAAGGACCAGGATTTAAAAAAAACCTCCAATGGTATTGAATTTATAGTTTTCATATTAATTAATATTTGAGGTGCTATAACAGATTAAATGCTGTGGGTAAAAACATAAAATGCTAATGCTAAAAGGAAAGGGAAAGAGTAATAGAGGTACTGGGAAAAATAATGTATCTGAAAGACAGATGGGAAGAGGGCTGTGTTGGAGAGATACACGAATGAGGGAGTTACCCAGAGGATACATTCCTCTATGGTGGCTTGCTAATACTTGAAATGGAGAATTATTTCAGAAAATAAAACTTATCTTAACTCAAAGTGTTTACTATTCTGCTGATACTAGACAAACCACAATGAAAGAAAAGGTGGAAAAGAGCCCTTCAGTTAGGTTGAAAGCATTTTAGCATTTTCAGATGAAATTATGTGAGTTTTTACCTTCACCTTGTTGGGTTTTTTAATTTATTATTTTCTCTTTTATGTCTGAAGTATGTTTGCAATGAAATATCGTGACTGATGAATACCAATAATTTGCAACTTTTTTCCACAGAGAATTTAGGATTTGGGGTCATTTGTTTCTAAAAGGGAATTTTTAAAATTTGTTTTGCAAAGCAGTTCTGCTCTTATTCTTGTGAGCTGGGAGGCTCACATTAGTAGGCAGCAATTAACAGAAGAGAAGTATTGCTAAGCTGGTACTAGGTAAACATGAGTGGAATAAAGTGACACTGTCTGTGGGGTAGGGGATAGCTAAAATCTGCTAAATTACCTTTAAAATAAAACTTGATGTGTTTATGTGTTGAAATTCAAGGAAAAGCATGCAAGTGATGGTTTAGGACTTCACCAGCTGTCTGCACTTGCGCTATATTCAATTCCAGAATGTATTAGTAAAAATAAAAGTTAATAAGCCCTTTTCCTAGTGTGGACATCTGCATTTTTCATGGAAGCACTGGAGCCCCATTGCTCAAGTCTTGAATTGTGGAATTTATGTAATCTTGTGTTTCCAGAAAGCATTTTCTTTGAAAAATGTAACTGCCCTGTCGGTCAGTCGATAGAGTAATCGGATGAGCTAGACATTATCATGCTTTTTATGTATATGATGTCCCAAATGTTGGGGTTTGCTATTAAAGTGCTCTTGCTTCGGTTAAATATGAGAAGGATTACTCACACATTTAATAGCATGTGAGGCATCCCAAATGATGCAGTTTAGGGTTGCGAAACAGAAATACTCTGGGACAGTTCTCTGAAAAGTGTCAAGTATTAACACCTGTAGTTTTTGTCATGCAAGGGCTCTTAAACTCGGGCACATTTTGTTTCATGTAAAATGTCTGACGCACGTGGCTGTGATGCATCACATTCTAATGATCAGGTCAGGAAACTTGGCAAACTGTTTTTCCTTGAAAGGGAGGACTGCATAATACTATTCATGATTGCTGTTTGTTCAATAAAGTTTTCAGTCTTCCAATTTATTTACTTTCAATTTTGGTTTCAGTTCATTTAACCTTCAGAAAACATTTGTGCTGTCTAGTGCTTACAAAGGGCTCTAGCAGCCCCTTGCTGCATTTATCTCTTGCTGTGGAGCTATGATGTCTGCAGTAATAAATGTATCCGTTTGAAATAGAAGTGATTAAGTTCTTGTTGAAATGTCTTCTGGAACAAAACATTAGCTTTCGCTTTCAAAGGGCAGATATTGCAGCAGATAGCACTTAACCTGGCCAAGGACACAGTGTTATGTTGAAACATCACTTTTCTGCTTGCCTCATGAAACACCAAGGATATCTGTGTTCAAGCACTTCCATTTCTTAAAACATCAAAACAAGTATCTCTACAGAATTGAAAGTAGCATGATTGTAACTATTGCTGTATTTTTAAAAAGAGCCCACCTGTCCTACCGATTTGTTGTGATTTATTCCTTTGAACTTTTAAATCTGAAAGATACAAGTAAGGACAGAAGAGTTGGGCAGGCATTGCTATTTACACACTAGACTTCTCTCTTCAGATGCACTGATTCAGCTGACTCCACACTTTTGAAATTAAACGAAATTTGACCGTCTTGCAGTAATCCCTGGTTGTCCAGCTCAGAAATTCATATGAGATTTGACAACAATATTGTCATCTTGAAAGTATGTTGTAACTGTGGCCATTGTTTTACAAAGCTGATGTACATCAGTGAAACCATATAGATCCTCCTTTTGCTGACTATCTGGGAAAAAGCTTAAGGTCAAAAGATGGAGTATGGGAAAGATTTGGGTTTCCTGCCCAAATCAGGTAGACACGTACACTGCTTGTCCATCTGTGTGTTCTAGCAGTATGGAGGTGCTGATGCATTGCAGGGGACTTTCTAAGTACTAATGCAACAAGTTAATAATAACAATTGAATCAAATAATTGATCTAGTGACTAAATACTGTATATTTTCTTAATTTGAAGCTAATAGGGATCCCCAGTAACTATGCTGATACATCCCAAGTATGCATCTCTTGCATACAATTTTGTATTCTCAAAAGTTGAAACAGACATTAAGAAACTAATATTATGTATTAACAAATACATCATCCAACTCCATATCATTCTGTGATTCTCTGAAATGTGAAAATACAGGACAAATACTAAATTGTCTGATTTTTCTATTTTATCCATGCCTTGTTTTCAAAAAGTGTGTTTTAAGATGCCTCTATTTATCAAATATATCCCACATGTACACCATGACTATTTGTCAATATTGTTTTACACTTTCTTTAATTTCAGTGACGTATAAATTGCAACAATGTTATTTTTTTTCTATGAGTGGAATTTGGAAACAGTACAATTTTAAAAACATATGGGATATAAAAATTAGTCACCTGACAATAAGTGCTAAATAGTATTTATCTCTTGCATTCTGTCTTTCAGATTTGTGATAAAGAATGGCATTACTACGTTGTCAATGTTGAGTTTCCTGTGGTCACCTTATACATGGATGGAACAACGTATGAACCTTACCTGGTGACCAATGACTGGCCAATCCACCCCTCACACATCGCCATGCAGCTCACGGTTGGCGCTTGTTGGCAAGGTAACATGACAGCAAATAGTAGACAGTAGAATTATGAATTCAGACCAAAAAGAATCTTTTTTTGTCTCACTGATAGTATAGTAATTAAATTACTAAAAGGTTGATAGTGTAAAATCAGAAGTAAATCCAGAGTTAATAATGAATCAAGTCCAAGGAAAACACGGGGAAATGCAAAATCTGTTCATGTCCCATCCATCATCTAAAGAAGTGTTACAGAATACAGTCTGTGTATTCAATGTGAAAAATTGTCTTCTTTATCTTTTGTTTTTACTTCTTTTAATTGTTTCCTTTGTTGCCCAACTTTAAGCAAGCTATCTAAATATTACTCTAAAGAACTTCAGTTATCTCCTTTCAGTTTCTGTCCAAATTTTCTTTCACAACTCATGGCCCAATCCTGCACTCTTCACTTTGAGTGTGTATCACCAGTAATTCCACCAACTTAATCAGTTGACCCTGTCATAGACTAGATGTAAAAGTGAGAGTAAAATATAACCAAAAGTCACAACCCCAGATCCATACTTGTGTGGGCCTTTGCTTAAATTTTAGTTTTTCCTGTTTTCTATCCTTTATAATCTCACTTTTCTCGTTCTTTTGTCTGGTCCTTATGCCACTGCTTTATTTTCTGTTCCCTGCCTTACACCTGAAGCTGTCCTCATTCTCTGCTCATCTGCTCCTGTAAAGTTTTCTCCATTACCCTTCCTATTGGTTTTCTATTTATGCACTGTGTCCTCTTTTCAGTTAAGACAAAATATGAAGTAAACTGTACAATTAGGAAAAAAATGCATCAACAGAGATTGTGTTTCTTTAACGTTAGCTCACTTTCTCGGTTATCACCTTGTTTGCTGGTTTGATCTCTGCTCATTTACATTATGTTATCTGCAAAATTTGGACACCTTATGCACGGCAGAACAGTTCAGTGTAAATAATATTAGAAGCAAATCCAGCTGTTAGATTATGAACACCTTGGGGTATAGATCCAATCTTTACTTTGAGGACAACATGCAGAATAAAGCCACACTAATCCCCAAACCAAGATTTGCTATGTTTTTAGTATTGATCACAGGGATAAGTATTGTGATAGCCAGCTAATCACCGTGACACTAATCCCATACATTTGTACAAGTACACACTGATTGTTGTCTAACTGGTAGTTTCAGTTCCATCTCTATATTTAGGTGTATTGGAATTTTTCATTGATGTTAAATATGTAACAGAATACAATTAATTTTGCTCTAAGTGCATGTTACTCCTTTTTTAGCTAAAAATATGTGGTGAAATACATATCAAACACTTCAAAAATGAGAACTTTGGTTTAGTCAGTCGTTTACTGGGATGAATAGTTGACAGATACCAATTTGATTTACATGAATTTTCTTTTAGTTTGATTGGTTTGGGTTTTTTTCTTATGTAGCTTTGGTGCAGTTTTTTAAAATCAAAGTTCCAGAGTTAACAAATGCAGATGTGATTTGCAAATGGACAAATTCAGTTCTTTCCAGACATAATCAAATGCCATAGGGACTGTGAATAATCACTGAGTATTGCCTTCTGAAAAATCAGCATTTCTCAGTAGCCATGTTAAAGAAATTTTATTTTAATCCTTTACTTCATGTTTACTTCTATGTTCTTCTGCATATGTCTACCTAAATATTTTTATGCATTATCTGTATTACTTATGGCCCTTAACTTCTTTCATCCATACATTATATTGTATCACTCTCTAACAGCAGTCTTTAGGGATTTTTTTTTCCTAAAAGTCTCAGTATTGGTGGGAATCCACTCCCTGCAGCCCCCACCTGAATCTCATGTTAATCATTATGCAGGTGCCAGGTTTTGAGAACTGTGGAGTAGTAACTTTATCCTCAAAACATGCTTTGTATAAGCAAAAGCTATGCCAGTTTTGCCATGCTGCTGCATGTGTGGGTTTCATCTATTTCCAAGACAGCTGAATATGATAAGAATAATCTTGTTTCCTTTGCATCTTTGTCTCTTTATCTCAGATTGTTAAGAGAAAGAATTAAGGTAAAAAATTCATTTAGACTCACAATAAATTTAGACCACAGGCGATGTTTAGTATTTAAGGTGTTAAACAAATAGAAAGTTGCAATTGTTTTCAGACATTTTTAGCTTTACCTTGAATAATTGGATGGCGTAATGAACAACTGTTCGGGATAAGGTTCTTCTTGTTGGTGAAATTGCAAGATTATGTTATTGCTCTTCTAATAACATGAATCTGAGAATCCTCCAGTTTATGAGGCAAGTGACTCTTTCAGCCCTGGCCTTTTCATCTCTTACACTGCTACTCATCCTGAGGTTACATAGCAAGTATCATGCTTGTACCTCCTCCTCATCTTTCTCAGAGCTGTGTCACGCAGGAGTCTTGGGCACAGAAAGAAAATTCTTTTCTTTGAGATTAATACTTTCTATTATTAATATTTCAATTCCAGAGTAACTCTTTTCTGACTTTTATAGCCTTGTTTATAGCATCCATTATGAAAAGTTACGTTAGTTTTTATTTCTACCTCTGGCTGTTCAAGTGAAATACAAGAGCAGTTTAAGTTTAGTGCTGTTCTCCTGAATCTAACATGAAAACAAACCAAATGTGCAATCATTCAGGCTTACGTGACAAATTTAAACTTTAGCCTATGATGTGCTCCCTGTGCCATTCACATCAAACCATTTGCTTTTATTTTTTGCCTTTTTGGGTTTTTTAACTTCAGCATTCCAGTTGTCATCAGCAGTTCTCTCCTATATCCCTGCCCTTGCCGTGGCAGTGTAAAAGGCATGCTTGATTTGATTCTTACTGATTTTATGCAATATTTCTTTAAATAATGTAAGTTGAGTGCTAGGACTCTCCTAAAAGGAGGAAAAATTAGCCTTTTCCTGAAGAGCAGAGTCTTTTCTAGGGGACAAGAATGTATTGGAGGCAGAAGTTGGGGTCCCAGTGTGTGGATGGCAGCCTGGAGACAAGCAGAGAATGAAGATGGCTGAAAGAGCAGAGAGCCAGGCTTCCAAGGTGATAGAAGAGAACCTTGCTAGGGTCTGTCAGGCACTGGGTAAAGTTTATTGAACCCGTGAAGTCACTCAGTTACCTAAAATCAAGCCTGGGGGATAGTTTCCACCTTTGATGCCACATTGCGCCTGGGGAAAGTTGTATTTAAAAAGTTTTTTATGGCATAATCAATAGGATTTTTTCTACTTAAAATAAGGTATTCTGGATGTTACTCTAGTATATTCTTTTTAAATTTCAAAACCTTGGTTCTTTCTTCAGGGAGCTCAATAAAGGGAAGATCTAGGCAGAGCTACCTCATTGATTTAGAGTCCTATCAAAATGGTTAGCATAGGGTTAATTGGGTTTTATTTTGTATAGTTCATTTTCAATAGTGCTGTACTTCAGGGAGGGCAGTTTATTTGGGGGTGGGAGTTATAGCATTGTCTTTAGGCTAAATTGGGTGTTGGTTCAATTACATGTGACCCAGGAGCACTGACAGCTGGAGACAGAAACTTCTTAACCTGTTGCAGCCTGTCTCCAACGAAGTCGCAGTCTTCCTGCAGGGCAAGTCCCACCTTACTTCTTGGCTATCACTCCAATGGCACTAGGCCTGAGAAAAGGTAACACTGACTACAGAGCCAAGAAAACTAGACTCGTAGTGAACACACTGAGGGCAGAAATGAGCAATTTGGGTTGCTAGTACAGCAGGTCCCGAAATTAAGCCTTTCTGTACCCTGGTAAAGTTTGACAGTTTTCTATGCAGATACTTTAGGATTAAGGGCATAATTTAATTTTAACGTCTTTAAAAGGCCTTTTTTGTTCACATCAGTGAACAAAATCACAGATGACTGTAAAGGGTGTGATTTTGATGTAGGTGGGGTTATTTAGGCCCAAAGTGCTGTTCTGACTCTAATGGCAAAAGAAATTTTGAGGCAAAAACTACTTTTTCTCAAGGGTGTCTAAAGAACAAAATTGACTTGCTTGTACGTGTGCTTCCCAGCACAAAAGACACCAGAGAGAACATGTGGGAAGTGTGACTCTGGCACCGTTTCTGAACTGCTGCCTCCCTGAATGGATGTTAGAAACAAACATGGTCCATGGGGATAGCAGAGAGCTCCTCAAGGCTCATCTTCTTAGTAATAAAAATAGTCTAGCTTTGCCCGTCCAGCTCAGGATTCTGGAGAGCTTTCCAAACAACAAAGTGGTAACACAGTTCTGCAGCAAGGAAATAGAATTGCCTTTGTTCTGTGAGGATAAAGTGCAGCATCAAGAGGGTCACTTAAAAAAATCTGCATCAGAGCAAGAATAGAGTCAGACTTCCTGATCAACCACAAAATTGTTCTTATTCTCCCTTTTAGCTTTTGCAATCCTGTTTCATTCTCCTAAGCAATACAAACAAATTAAGGTTAGCTTGTCCTGAAGCTGCACGAGCTTACTAATTAAGGTTAGCTTGTCCTGAAGCTGCACGTTCTGGGAGCTTACCCTGGTAAGTTCTCCTCCGAGTTCATTATTTTTGATTCAGTTTATCTGAGGACATAGCAAATGGTCCCTTTTACAGAGTGAGAAATTTCTTCCATTAAACCAAGGTTTATAGGTTCCCATTCTGATCCCTTTATTGCTAAATATTCTGTGGCAAAGGCAGCCAGAAAAAGGGAGCAAGTTACATGATTTGGTAGTCTAGTCATCTTACCACAGACTGCAAACAGACTTATTCCAGGTTTCTCTGAAAAGCTAAGGTCTTCAGTTCATACTCTCCCTCCCCAAATGGCTTGTTTCTTTATGTGTCATTCCCAACGTCCTGTCAGGAAAGTATTGACACAAGTTAATGACTTGTCACAAGGTAATATTGTAGCTTACTGTGACTGTAAGTCATTATTCCTAATAACACCACCCATTCTAGAGTGCTGGAGATGCACTGTGTAATTTGCTGGCCACTTTGCTCAGGGGAAGGTCCTTAGGAGAAGCCTGTCAACAGGCAAACTTTGTTATCATGAATATAGCAGAAGACTATTCCAAGTACTTTTTGTTTTATATTTTTTCTTTTGTATTCTCCTTTCAATTTCCTCTTTCCTTAACCTAGGCTGGAGACCAGTTTTTCTACAGAGTCCCTAGGTGGAATAACCTTATTAACTTTATATGTTAGCACCCTGCTGACATATCAATCACAAAGTTGCAGTCAGAGTACCGACGTGTTGTTCAAGGCAAGAAGAATGGCAAGAGTGAAAAGTTGGAGAGGGCTCAGATCACTAATAGCCAAATACACTGTGGGCAGTGTAGCTGCAGCAGCCTCTATCACCCAAGAGCACTAATGCCAGACCGCCTAGGTAGAGGTCAGCACAATGTGACGCTGAGTACCTGTGTGCTGTTGCTTCCCTCAGTGCAGCAGTGCTCTCTCTGTATCGGCCGCCTTCTTAGAGAAAACCAAGGTGCAGTGGATTTCAATGCACTTCACAGATCTTTGCTGGAATTTTAGCTGTAGCAGAAATACAAGCACATGTGGAAGGTTAGTTTAGGAGGGTGTTTTCTTGGAGAGCTGAATTTGCATTCAAATCTGTCACTAATTCAGCATAGATATGTGTCCCTCATTTAATTGAATTTCTGCACTGGGGACTATGCACTAGCACAGGAATGTTATTTGGAGAACAGGAGTATATTTATTTGGGCAACATTAGCATCACTTGGACTGTGATCTTCTCCAAGATACATGATTGCAACTTTTTATCATAATGGTCATAATTTCCTACAGTTCCCCTAGAGATAACAAAAATATATTGCTTAATTGTGAGACATTATAGTGTTTTTCTTGTCTTGAGAAAAATGATCTTAAATATGGACCTGTTGTACTGGGATAGATTAGCCTGTGCATACTTAAGAGCAGGTAGTCCTTAGTGTTCTCTGTACTTGTCTTATTTCAGGTAAATGTTTAAAGCTTAAAGCTGTCTGTGTGAGGTCATCAGGTTATGACATCTGCCAAGAGCAGGGGCAGACTTAAGCAGTGTCTAGTTTGAGGAGTAATTTTCTGAGTAATTTTTCTCTGAATGACGAAAAAAAAAAAAAAACACTAAAACTTTTTTGTGCTGATAAGCTCTGACAGTATAAAACCTTGAGTCTCTAATTGGGGCTACTCCTGAAATCTGTGTTAGGTTTCATCCTGCTTAACAGCCAATGTCCTTGTCAGGGAATTACACCTGGCTCCCTAAACTGACATAATAAAGAGATGGGATAAATTCTGGGGCTTGGACCTGAGGACTTCAAAGCCAGAATGTCTTGCAACTGCTTCCAGATTCAGTTCAATCTTTATGTTGGCACCCTGAATCATTCCTTAATTATCTGGCTCAGTATAATGAGGTCTATAGTGTCTTAAAAGAACCGCATCTTGGTTGGAAATTCTCTTGATTCATCATTGCCAGTGAAAAGCTCCTTGTGCTTAGACTGCCCCGATAATTACTTGCTCATTGTTAGGGTAGGGCATAAGGCCTAAAATAAGATCTGTGAGCTCAATAAAGTCACTTCTTGTGACAAAAAGGCATGATTGTTCTTTGGAGATTGGTAAATGAGTGCAAACAGCACTTTACATCTCTGAAGTCAAAACAATACAACTGTAAAGTTCAATAGTAATCAAATCCCATTACACTGTATCAACCCAGTGTGAAACTAAAAAACCAAACCAAACAAACAAAAAAAAAATCCCCAAAACAGAATAGTGTAATGGAAATAGACTTTGCTTCATTAATGAATGTGCCTTAACCCCACGATGTCTGAACCCTGAGAATCTTCAGTTTCCCCTGGACTCTCCAGTGTTATATCTAATAGAACCTCTTCATGGCTGGGATCAGAAGGTGTTTGCTACATGTCAGTCTTTAACCCCCCCTACTTTTTTATTTGTCTGAGAGATTCTAGCTGTTTATGACCAGGTGATGTATACTTGAAACATTTGTTTTCCTCCATGTGTATAAGGGCATCATCCTGATTGATCTGCCCATAAATAAGACAGGCATCTGCAGTATACTCATCTAAAATTAAGGTAGGTTAATTTTTGATCTATTGCGTTTGAAATTTCAGGCACCAACTGTAGCCCTGCTTGTGACTGTTTAGGAATGTGTCAAACACAGGGATACTGTAAAGTCTTCTTGTCATTGGCAGCTTGATCACTCCCCACTGAGGGCTGCTGTGTGGGTGCAGCATACACTGCCCTTTCTGGTGTGCGAGTCCTCTGCTGACTTGTGCATCCTGCTGCAGCCTGCTGTGGGGCTGGGCTTGCTGGGAGCGAGTGCAGGACCAGCTGTGAATAGCTCAGGAGGGAAGGAGCACTCAGAATTAGTCAGAGGGTTATAACGTTCTTGTGGGGAGTGAACCCCCACACCCCAGTGTTGGAGGTGCCCCTACCTAACCCTACTGCTAGGCTGCAACTGATGTCATGGGACATTAGTGGACCTGGATAATTCTAGTTATCTAGATAATTCCAGTAGCAGCATGCACTTCATTTTTGCAGCTCGTTCTGAGCCCTGTGCCTATATATGTCTCAGCTGTCTCTTTCTCAGAACCCAAGCGTCTGCTATAATGGTTTTATCTGGTGGGAAGCCCAGCAGGCCAGAGCAGGACCCTTCTGTATGTTTTGGTGTCAGTGTGTGTGTGTTGTACTTCTTCACCTCCATTCATGCTTAGCAGAAAAGGAAAGTAACTCAGAAAGATGTTATCAAGGTGACCCTCAGTGGCCTTGGCCCCTAGTGCCCAAGCTGTCCTACTTGCTCTGCACTGATAGACTTCCAGGCAGAAGAGATCAGCATAGGAAAAGAAGAATCCCTGTCCAGAAAATAGTTGTGATTTTAGCAAGTGAAAAATGTGATGTGTACTACCTTGACAATGACTCAGCAGTCAGACAGCATAATTATGTATCGACAGTTCCTCTGGATGCCTCCCACAGTCTGTTGACACCATCCTCCCATTACGAGGATTGAATTAATGCCAAAACACCAACATCCATCCTTCTGTATCTGCCAGACTTTGGGAGGGGATGTGCACACTGGGTAAGGTGGAAAAAGAAATACACAATTTTATCATCAGGGTCTGAATAATGCTGTGGCGCATTCAGACAACTCACAACTGTAACGGTGACCACAACATTTACATTTAAGGAAGGGAAAAAACCAGTAGCTTTGAAAATTTGTCACGCAAGGGTCTGTAATGAGAATAAGTGATGTTGTGCTATAGTGGTGTTTCAGTATTTTCTGGGCTGCAGACATCAATCGAACTGCCTGACTGACAGCAGGGAAGGTTCTGGTTTTCATTATCGGTTGCATCATTCGCCTAAGTCTTAACTACTTAACTGTCCCCCAAGAGTTAGCACTCACAGCATATTAATTTGTAGTAAACATAGAGCTGAGTGAAACAAAACATGTAACACAGTCAAGGAGTAGGTTTTCTTATTCTCCCAGGTCTTGATGCTATAACATCATTGTGGAGGCGAGCTGTGTCTGATCTGTGTCTCACTCATAAGAAAGGGCATAAAGACCCTGACAGCAAAAAAATCCCACAAAACTTGCTGAGGCGACCTAGGTTAACTGGGTGGCCTGACCTCTGGATAGAAACTGGTAGATGGTGCATTACAAAACACTATTTCTTACACATCATGACATTGGGAAGTAGAAAAAATTTTAGGACACTTGGATTGCCTCAAGACTATTATCACTGGAGTTCCACTTTTTTCTCTGAATTGTTGCTCCAAAGGCTTGTGTAATCCATATACATTGTCTTCATTATCTCAAAAATACTGTTGCTTAGGCTCAGTTTGGTGTCAGAACCAAGAGTTAAATTCAAAGTGTTAAAGCATCAAGAACTGTTGCTTATGCCTGTTCCTCAGTTGTTTCTTAGCATGCGGTAATTTCAGTGATGAGTCAAATTCAGACGATGGAACTGAGCTTTCCTGCAGCCCAATGAGGTCAGTGGCTCTGAGCTGCCTGTCAGCTGTGTGTGGAGCTGCACAGGCATGAACTGCGTCATGCTCAGGGTCAAAGGATCTTTATTTGAAAAGATCAATACTTAGAAGAATTCGGATAATAGTCTATAAATGTTACTATCAGGATTAGCTACAATTACACACTGTGCTTCAACATGCTACAGAATTAGCATTTTCATGCTAGATTAAATATATTTATACTCTAATCTTGGGAGTTTAAATTTTAGAATGACTAGGTCTTGGAGATTGGCAATCCTGGGCTAAATTTGCACCCACTGAGAAGCTGAGGTCAAATACTTGAAGAATATAAGATTGTAGAAGCAGAAGGAAAGACAACATTCAAACATACTGATAGAACCAAACATGAATTAAACACTGATACAGGAGTAAAACAGCCAATTGCTGAGGATTTTCAATTCATTCTGACATTTTTTTCTTCTAACATTTTTTGAGACTGAAAAACTATATTCCTAGTAATCCTTTTTATCAAAGCTTGAATATAGGATTGTAGCAGGTTGGCTTTAAGCCATTCCTTCCATTTTAGTGAGAGTTTCGGGGTTTGCATCCCGATTTTATCGCATTGGATTTTCTCCATTTGCAATTTAATAATTACTGGCAATTGAAACACATCCACATACCCCAGTGAGCTGAGAAGATTCTGGAAGGCTGAGTTAGAAGAATATCAAAATGTCAACGTGCTGCAATTACAAGCAGCTGTGATAAGAGTCAGATACAATGACTTCTGCTCACCCTCAAGGATAAAATTGGCAGGTATATAATTTTGTCTTTAACTCTGGTAAAAGGTGCTTATGGAGGCTTATTTAGCAGACTACTTTTTCTAATAAAGTGTGAGATAGCATTCTCTCTTCAAGTGCTCATGTTTTTTCATGTGGAAAAAGCAAGTATTCAAGTATTCACACTGTCCTGGATTAACAGGCATGTCCTATGTAAACCATATCTAAAGTTGACAAGTAGGCTATGTTGTAGTTAGTACTTCAGATAATTGCAGGCATTCCAGCAAAAGCAACAGGGATAATCATAGCCTACAGTGTGACGTGGAAGATGTAAAGAAAAGGCCTTGTTTAGCCTGGCAAAGGAAAAGGGAAGGCATGGCCATGTTTTGCCAGCTCATGCTCCCTAACAGGAATAAAATTCCAACTCTAAGGATGGTCATTGGAGGGGATTGCTTGGGGAGCCTCAGTCTTCAGAAGAGTTTAGAACAGCTCAGGCAATTCTAAAGAATAGGTTAAGCACAGATGTTCTTGTCTTGGGGCTGGGGGACAGACTCTATTGTGCCTCAGTGTCCCTGCAGACTCTGGTGTCAGTTGTTCCAGTGCAACTGTCCCAGCCAGAATTGTCCTGGCATAACCATGGACATAGTTTTGCAGATTTTTCTCCATGACACAATATGACACTAGCCAGTTCCAGGTATTTTTCACTCACATTTTCTTGAAATACTTGCTTTTTTTTCCATAGCAGTTGATAGCTTCCCCATAACAAAGATTACATCACCTCTTTTGCAGTCCAAAATCGATCTACACATCTGCACAAAACCCAACCTTAGTCCTGTGAACAGGGTAAGTTCTTCAAATATTCACTGGTTTTGTAGTGCCTGTATTTGCAGAGCATTTTAAAAGCTTACTCCTAGAAACACTCATATTCTCTTTCACACTTTTATATTAGTGGTTGGGCAGATGACTGTAGCATTGTAAATGACCGAGCAATGTAATTGTAAGTGCTTTGTCAATGCCATCAGAACTAATCCAAACTGAAAGAAAAATCAATAAAATAAAAATAAACTAAAAAATCCAAACCTGAAGTTCCTATTCATGGATGTAGGCCCCAGTCATGTTGCTCTATAGATTTGCTTAACTGGTTTATCCTGCTTGTTCCTGTCAGGCATAGCCACAGCATTGAATTCTTTGTTCTAGCTTCTTGTCTTGTCCTTTATACATTTTAATGAGCTAGTTTCACATTTAAATACATTAGCTTATCTGAGGCTGCTTCTTATTTTGCATCTCCTCAGAACTATTAAGATCTACTGGCAGACTTACTGGAGGATTCTAAATTTCAAAGCTCCAGGATTAGTGTTGGTGTTTTAGCCTTGGAACTTGCTGTCTTCAGAATTCTGTTAGGGATATGAGAATCTGAAGCTTCAAAGCACAATGTGATTCCCTTCTTCTTCTGTAAATTCCTATCTGGTTTTCTCTGTCTCCTTCTTAGGGAGAGGTTTGCATTTATTTTTTTTTAAATTTGGCTTACTTTTTTCCGTTGAGATACATTGCTGCTGCATTAGTGGCAACATATACTCTTAAAGACAATGTAAACAGATAAATATAACAACACTTTTGTTGAAAAGCAAAGGTCCCCATAATGCACTATTTATTTACCAAATAATTGTCTTGGTGAGTATCAAGCTGAAATTACAGTACAAACTAATCCTGTACTTTAGCTGTTGCATACATGAAAGTTTCTATGAAACCTCAAAAAAATTCATCCCAGAAGAATTTTTCTGTATAATGGATAAATGAATGAAAGAGTGGAGAATAATAATCTCTCCTTGAGGATCTTTTTTTGGCATAAAAAAGAGAGGCAGTTTGTGCTGCAACGTTAACAAGAAAGGACAAAACCTGACTATTTCTATGAGGAGACAGCCTGTTTAGACACCTTCTTTTCTCTCAGTAGACCAATGCATATTTTATTCACTATATAAAATAAGTCATCTTCATAGTGCTAATACTGCACAGACTAAAAGTGCTGTTTTTCAGGCTTTTAGGTAGCAACATCAGCCTAAAGAAAATTTGCCACTTCATCCCTATCCTAACTCCATGCACAAATCTTCAAGTTAAAGTTTAAGGTTGAGCTAGCTTATCTGGCAGAAATAGGTTGTTTGACATTAAAGCTACAAGCACTGTAGAGATGAGTTATCTACCAATTACAACAGCTTATCAACTGCTAATGCAATTAGTCTGCATGGATTCACTGTTGCGTGGCTCTCTCCGTCCTCTCAGGCTCAAGGTAGGTAGTAATTCACATGCACTGATAGAGCCAACAGTTGCAGGAAAGACAAGCTTTAAAAATTCTGGAGGAGGATGAGTAAATCACTAAATATCCCAAGAGTAATTTAGATGCTACGATCACTGGTGCAGGCAGTAAGTAATCACATTTTATTGACAACTCCTGAAGATGAGTCTTCCTTTGAAGCTGCCTAGAGGGAAACTGAGCAGAGTGTAGCTGGTGGGCCCAGTGCAACAGACAGCGACGAGGCCTCATGGGGCACCCAACGAGCTGCTTTGGGTCAGGGAAGCACCTGAAGCCTTTCAGCGCTGTGCTGTGCTGTGCACTGGCCTCCTTCACTGCTGGGAATGTACACCCTATCCTTAGAGATAATCATTTGTAGAGAGTGGGGCAGTTTGCTTACATAGAGACGTGACTCTTAGCACTTCTAAGAACTTCAGACAGCATGTTTTTTGGAGGAGAAAGGCAAAGACGGTGTAAGTGATCTTGTAATAGAAAACTTGAAAATACAGTTTCTGTATGAGTAAACATTGGACCTTAAACATTTTTTGAAATTTGTGTTTGATCACTCCAATAATTTCATCAATTCAATTTTGCAAATGCTGTGCTTCCTTGGACAGGGAGTTGGGAATCCATGTTTCATCTCAGAGAGTGTTATCACAGCTTTATAAACACCTGCATACAATACTGCAAAAACACTGACAGGCATTTTAAAGCCAAGCTGCTACTAGGTACCACCCAACAACACACAAAGCAGTTCTACGTATCACAATAAAAGGGATCTCAAATATAGTTGGCTACAATGGACGTAAATTCTTTAAATGTGTTAAAACATAAAGTGAATGAATAGATGTGTGGTTTGTGTATTGGTGTCAATAATCATTTTATATTCTGTTTCTTGCAGGAGGAGAAGTCACCAAGCCCAGATTCGCTCAGTATTTCCATGGCAGCTTGGCCAGTCTCACTATCCGGCCAGGCAAAATTGAGAGTCAGAAAGTGATTTCCTGTTTGCAGGCCTGCAAGGAAGGGCTGGATATTAATTCTCTTGAGAGTCTTGGCCAAGGAATAAAGGTGAGGAATGAACTGACATAATCTTTGATAAAAATTTAGAGCTGATTTATGAAGTGGAGAGCCCAAGGTAGAGTACACACAGTACAAATGTACTCCCAGAAGCAAGGTAATTTCCCATAAAGTCATGCAAAGAAAAAGTGGAACAGTAGAAGAGCTGTGACACTGCAAAGAAAAATGCTTCCATTATGGCAAAGCTAGATGTTCAGAAAGTAAGGCACTGCTGGTATTTCAGAGTCCATAACAATTACCAGGTCATGTTCTCATGATTATTTTGGTAGTTTTACAGAAATAGACATGATTCCAAAGAACTACTGAATTTTGATCTGAAGTAGTTTTAAAGCAGTGGAGAACATGTGTGGAATATCTGTCATCTAGAGGCAACTCCGAAAGAAGTCCCAATCCAATAGCATTGAAAATTCAAAGTGTGTTCCAAGAGGAAAACGGTGTGGGACTTGAAAACCGGACAATTTAAAAATTAAAGTCAAGAAATTAAACTTTTACATATGCATATAAATCATTATTCATCTTAATTATATATATGACTATCTTTACTGATATTGTAACACTTTTTCTAAGATTAAAGGACAACAGACAGAGGAAAATCCAGTTTCAATTGACAGAGTGGTCAGATTGCTTTGCATTTGTTAAGACAAATTCTGTTCTTTTAGATACATACGTAGGATTGTGACTATAACTTCTATAATACTCATATGAGCTGCATTGTCAGTTTCCCTTTACTGATGCCATTATTAGACGGCAGGCCTAATGTGGCAACACACTGTTAAGCTATTTCCTAGCGCACAAATCACAATGCCATCTTCCAAAGGAGCTGAGCTTCAAATTCAAACTGGGAATGCACTCTGGCTGCAGACTATGCATCCTGTGGAACCACACAGGTGTTTTTTCAGTGGGGAGGAGGAAGGTGCTCTCACACTTGATCTAGAGGATGCAGTGGAAGTGCCATAACTACATTTTATTAGCTAAAACTTTTCCTTGTACAAGATAGGAGACTGACCAGAAGAAATACACTCCAGTGTTTGTCTAGGTGATAAGTTGCAATGGTCTGGTATAACCAATATGTTTCTGAAAACAATGGTAAAAATTAAATTGAAAGTGCAAACTTAAGGAGGAATTTTGATAGCTCTAGCATTTACATATGAACAAAACACCCCAAAGATATTTTTTTTCTTCATCATACCGAGGACATAATTAAGAATTTCACATTGTTGCCTCTCCCAGCGAAATGAAACACTTGCATGTAAAAGCTATTTTTAAAAGGCAACGCATACAAATAGCAGGTAGGGTTTTCTGGAATGCAAGTGTATGTGCCTACCAGTAAATTCTTTGCTGGGATTTACATGAATGAAAGCAATGTACAGTTGGTCTATGGTGCTTAAAAGCATAGTAAGTTCTGCCCTATTGTCACATCCTGAAATTTGACAATATTTGAATGCTCTGTTGTTTTATGGGCTTTATATATCCCTGTTACACTGCCCACTGCTGCTCCAGCATGGCTTTCCTACTGCACTAGCTACGCAGTGAGGAAAATGAAGATGAGGGATTGTTTTCCTCCTTTCCTTTCTTTCACTAAACTTCAAAATATTTTCATTTCTGAAATACAGATTAGATAGAGTGGGTTTTTTAAGTTACTGCTTTCATTTTCACTTCCTCAGCCAGCTCAACAGTCAGCGCAACAGTGTGGTTGGGTCTCTTATTGGGACTGACAGAAAGCAGCTCGGATGAAAGCAGAACAGTCGGCACCTGAGCTTGAACAGAAGATTAAGAAAGAGAAAGGGGTTCTGGGGTCAGTAATAAACATACCTGACCTCAGACAAGCAGTTGCACAGATGATAGGTTCTGTTTGGCCATTTATGTGGTACTTACCATATTCGGTGTAGGCAAACTGATGTTGGAAGGTGTTTCTGCTGGGCTCTTTGGACTCGTGAAGCTTCGCTCCTTAGCCACCTAAGAAAGAGCAATGTGGTTGTAATACAGTTTCTGACACAGTAGTGTTGGACTTTTTATGTCTGCAGGCAAATTTTCAGATATCTGTGACAGCTCTCAGAAACACTGTCTAAACTGTTGCTATTTTTAGCCTTTTTTAATGAGAAAGACAAAAATGGCTCAGACTAGGGCTTTCTCCAGTCCCTTTGGCAGCATTCCAGCTGTTCTGGCAGCTGAGCTATTAAGTTAACTAGCTAGCTAGAGTCTTCTTTTGCTAATTTTAGTCTCTACTACTGCTAGCTTACTGAAAAGAGAAAGAAGCGTATGTAGGCTGTGACTCATGTTAGTCCTCCTCTTTGTTAAAAAAATACCCTTCAGTGTGTTATGACCTTTCTGCATAAGCTTTAAACCCAGTCCTCTGTGTTTTGTTCAACAGAAAACCTTGTGCTTCATTCTGTTCTTCACAGTCTATTTGCTCTTTTGCTTTTTAACCTTTCTGATTGCAAGGAAATGTAGACAACCGTTGTCTGTATACACTAGAACATGTTCATATAATCAGTATCCAGCTTTGGGGACTGCATGAGACAGAAGGGTGTATTTCTTAATGGTTTGTGCTGACAACAGTAGGGTACAAAATCAAGGGGCTTAATCTGGTTTTCTTTGCAATGCAGATGGTTTACTGAACCAATTAATAGACCTAAAAAAATGGAATCAGGATGAATTATGATGAAGATAAAATCAATCATTTGCTATGTGGATATAGTAGCAAAGTTTCTTGGTCAGCAAGACTGTTTCACGTTCAATGCAATGGACTCGAGAAAGATCAGGGCTACATGAATAGCCATTGACTTTGCAACGTTTGTTGTCTCAAACTGGCTTTGTGCGAGTAGCAGCTCCATCTTAAATCATGACACCCTTATTGATCATGAGACAGAAAGAGAATACCCTTTATTGTGTCTGACATTAACAAAGATGTAGGAGGGAAATGTTGTAACTGTATTTTTCATTCATGTTGAAATATATCTCAGAAAGATAGCCCAGAGTAAAGCCAAACAGAAAGCAAGAAAAAATACGCTTCTGTATGTTACTCTGGTTTAAGCTAATTACTTTTATATGGGGATGTGTTTAACAAAAAAAAAAAAAATTACATAGTAATAATAACGGTGATGGTAAGTTAAGGTTTTGATACTACAGCTGCAGAAATAGTATCAGCAAAGTTGATAGGGCTGGGGAAAGTACAGCCAATCAGGATCAGTTCTAACATTAGTTATTCACATATGAAATAGATGGGAGGTAGAAGCACATGTTTTAGGGAACAACATGTGGATTCAGCCAACAATAGCTACCAATTTTTCTTCCTAAATCATTAGATTTTAAAATTATATCTGTGCAACGTTCTTTAAAAATGTCTTATTTTGTACTGTCTACCTGGTACCTTAAATACTAATTATATGCATTTCCTCTAGTATCACTTCAACCCTTCCCAGTCAGTCCTTGTCATGGAAGGAGATGACATTGAGAATATAAATCAAGCTCTCCGAAAGGTCTCATACATCAACTCCAGACAGTTTCCTACTGCAGGTGTACGACGTCTCAAAGTCTCATCTAAAGTCCAGTAAGTTATACTTCAACTGAACTGATTAGATTAGGAATATTTTTAATGAATTGCTTTCTTCTTAGGACATGTAAAAAGAATAATTTTTAGCTAAATTACATCACTAAATCATGCTTGTATGTTATTAAGCATAAAGGATGAATTTCATTTACTTTTATGCCGGTTTACATTGTGGTTTTCTTTTGATATTGTCCTTTTAAGAAACTTTCCTTGTTAATATAATTTACTTGCATTATTTTTATAGTTTGGAACATACAATCTGGACTGAACAGTACTTGCATTTACTGCATTCTTATTTTACTGTTCATTTTAAGAAGTTACAGTTTTTTCTGAGACAGCTAGAGCCATGACTTTTTAAAGCAGGCCTATTACATCTAACACATGACACATCTGCAAGAACAGTGTTTGTAGCTATGCTTGAAATAGTCTTTATCTGTCTGTATCCTTATAAGACCATCATCACTGAAGTCCTGGTGTTGCGTGTTAAACAGAAATTCCTGTCCTTCCATTTTCATGCAACAACAGTGACAGAACCTGCACAATAATGTTTACAGTTCTCTGTATCCTAAGAGTCTTCTGCTGTTGCTGAGCTCCCCTGGGGTACGTCTGTGTAACAGCAAGTTGTGCAGTGCAGTGAAAGCAGATCTTTAGAGTGAAAATAGACATCACTGCTACGAACTCTCATCTACTTTATGTACAGTTCTTACTACATACTAGGTTTAGTCTAGTACTAGGTTCAGTCTAGTGCTGTCAGCTGACCACACTAAGAGTTTGGAGAGCATCTGCTGATGCAGTTTCACTGGAATCAGTCCAGTTTGCACACTCCAAGGCAGGCCCAAGCCTTGTGCCAAGATGCAGAAAGGTAGAATTTGTCAGGACTAAAGCACAGTGCTGATTCAGATGCAAATGCTAATATAGGCCCCTTTTCCCCCCATTAAATACTGGGGGTGCCAGAATGAGTTCATTATGGGTCCAATTTAAATGGATAATACGGCCCTTTTATTTGCACATTACAAGTCAACCCTATTTGTTCTTCAATCCTCACTTTGAGAATGTAATGTTAGGTTTACTATAATTAGTTATTATCATCTAAATAATTTTTTCAACTATTCACTACTTCGTAAAATATCAGTTAAACATCAAAATACTATTCTCATAGTCACCTTTCTAAAGACTGAGCTTGTCATGAGTCTGTTTGCTAAGCCGTCCCTACGCAATTTCAGTAGTTGCAAATGTGGGAGGGGATGAGAGGACCAGAGCTGTCACTGTCACTGCTGGCTGTGTGCCTGGTAGGACAGATTCATGTCCTTACGTGTGGCAGTGTCAAAGTATGGAACAGACTGCTCTGAGCCCATACAAAAGGATGAGAGTCATCAGGTGGGTTTTGGGCAATGCAAGTGCCGCACACCTCTGATGTGCAATGTGTTACATGCTGTTAATGAATAATATATTTTTCAGATGTTTTGGTGAAGATGTCTGCATTAGTATCCCAGATATAGATGCGTATGTAATGGTGTTTCAGGCCAATGAGCCCAAGATTACAATAAGTGGGATGGACCACTTTGCTAGACCAGCTGAACAATTTGAAAGAGGTGTTATTTTGTTACCTGACATCAGGATTGTCAGCACAGTAACCAAAATGGAGCATCCAGTGGACTCAAAAGAACATGACAGAGGTTTGTGTATTTATTTTAAATGTTAATATTTACTCTGTAACATGGATCATGCAAACAAGTTACACAAAAGAAGTCACTTAATCCAGATTAATTTAGGCAATGTTAGGCAGCAGTAATGCTGTACTGAGGACATTCATTTAAACACATTAAAAAATGAATTAAATTGTGACAGAAAATCTGCTTTTTTTTGAAGCACATACTGGTCTATTTCGTGTCTTGCCTACTTCAGAATAATTCCTTTCCACTCTTCTTTACATATTCTGTTGAATAGCATATTTTCATTGCAATCTCTCTATTTGTAACATAATTTTATTGATTATACTGGTAAAGTGGAAAGCAGTAATTGACTAATGGAGTTTTAGTCTGTTCTTTTGTTTCCAGCTCTGCTACTGGCTTGTGAGTGATACTTGACAAAGTAATCTTGTGCTTCAGTTTCCTAGCTATACAATGTAAATCTAATAATTTTCAAAGATTTTTTTTTCAGTAATGGTAGTTTAATGCTGAGCAAAGTGTATATTAGGTGAATGTTCAGAAATATAAATAAGGTTAAAAATAATTGTCTTTATAGAAATCTTACTTTTGGATATTTCCGTGCAAATTAAATAAAAAGCCTAGTAAGCTGAAGAATCATTCTAAACAATATTTGTTGGACTAGAATAAGCAGCAGCTAGATGTGCATCTCTTGAAAAGATAAAATCACTAATGATGTGGAAGTGTAGGGGCATGGATTCCCTGAAGCCATGCTCTGTAATAATGCTGCTTATCACTTGCCTGAAACTGCATCTGTCCTCTGAAGGCCGGAAAGTGTTTTATATCATAATACCAACTGCACACAATTACAGTATGAAACTGTTGTAGCACCTTATAACCTAAAAAGCCTGAGTCTCACCTTGAAAAGGAACATAGCAGCATTTCTTAATTCTTAAGTACTGTTTAATTCCTTGAAAGCCATGCACCTCCTAATAATGTGTCGATCTTGTTTATTTCCATTAAGAGTGTGGTTAAAACAGATAGATAATAATTGGCTTTGGGACAGTGTTTTGCAAAGTATTATTGAATTCTAAGTCTGAATTCCCACATTATAAGCTTGAACCATTATTTCGCTCAGCCCAGATATTATCTGAGAAAGGCAAAGACAGTCATAAATCTTGACCTGTATCTACCTGTAGGAGAGATGCACGTGGCGAGGCTGAGGAGCCTGACTTAGTCACCCTGGATTCCCCAGTCAGGTCTGTCCCTCATCCAACGCAGACCAGGCAGTGGCCACAGGCAGCGGTCTATGGCTCTGAGACCTTATTTACCTGCAGAGGGCCCCCAGAATGACAGCGTGGTGCTGCTTGTGCTACAGTAGAGAAATGAGTGGCACCCCACCAATAGCTAAAATTGCTGCCCCTACCTCTCCTGTTTGCCCACTCACAGCCAGTGCAGCTGACTGTCTCATACCGTAGTCCAGCTCATCAGCCTCAGCAAAGTCAGATTGGCCTATCCTGCAAATTTGAGTTGGTGGCTGCATTTTCGGATAAGTTGGAGCTGTACTTTAGATACTTTAGAGTTCAGATACCCAAATTCACTGTACCAGGAGTTGGGAATCTAGGGCATAAGATTTTTCCGTCTGTGCCTGCCTTCCCTTTACACCCTTAAATACGAAATTCACACTAAGTTCCAAGATTGCAGTCTGTGTGTCTATGGTACCCTCAGGGAGCTGGTTAAGCAGTCTTGCCAGACACTGTGCAAAGTTGATGAGAGAATTAAAATATTAAATCAATATGCTACTCTTCTTCCAGCAATAGAATTTTTATTTTTAACTGTGCATACTGAAGGGCAGTCAGTTTACAACTCAATTTCTCCAAGTCACACAACACAGGGTTCTTGTCATTTATGATAATACCATGTTCTTGGATAGATGGCCGTGTTCTTTGTAATGCAAATTCTTTATGGGCCATAGAGTGACTGAGAGAATCATCCAGGCATAGATGTATTTGACAGTTCAGTTTTCCTTGAGAAAAGACTGAATTTTTCCAGTTCAGTTTTCCTTGAGAAAAGACTGAATCTGTGATACGAACCTAGTGTCAATATAGCATTGAAAAACAATTGTTTACAAGAAGTTATTTCCAGGATCAAATTTCATTTTTCTACTTTCAGTACTGTTCTTGAATGCCTTTTATTACAGAGCAACATATTTTTCTATCTCACTAAGTATTTGTAGGCCTTCCTCATCATAGCACCCGAACAGGCAAGACACTTCTCTTTTGATTGGCTTCACATATGCTGTATTTAATATTGGCAAAAAAAAATTCACCCATCGTTGCACAAATTGAAAGCCCTGATGCAAAGCACATAAAATGACTGAGCTGTTCTGTGACCATTTATCTTCATTTCTTTCTTCTTTTTTTCATGGTATATGCCATGTGTTCACAGCCAATAAGCCAGTGGTATTAGAGGAAATGCTCCACAACTTGGATTTCTGTGATGTTTTGGTCATTGGCGCAGAACTAGATCCTGAACAAGAGTGTTTAGAACTAGATCATGTGGAGCTTCAAGGAAAACATCTAGATGCCACAAATTCCACAGCAGGATATTCAATTTATGGTATGTTCATGGACTTTGCTTTCCCTTATTTCTTCCCACCAACAATTATATTATTGGAATGAAAGGACTAATTTGAAAGAAATTAGACAGAAGTCTCTGGTGTACCATCCGTAAAATATTCCAGGAGAGACTGTGTCTCAAAAAGCATAGTCACTTCTTGAACTCCGGGTGGGCAGTGTTTAGCCTTTGGAATACAGCACCGCTTTGGCTTGATCTCAGCATCCCTCCTGCTACTGCCCAAATAAAGAAAATAGCAACACTGCTTTCTTTAAATGTGGAGGTTCTTGTGGACAATCGCAGTGGAATATGGGAATGAGGGGATTCCTCAGTGCTCCTGCAGAGTGTTGGTAACTCATTGATCATTTTTTTCGATTACTAAGCAATGTAGATCTTTGCTGTTGTATTTGTTCCTCTCCATTATGGACCTACACTCATTTCCAAAAACTATTCTCACATAATTTAGCATCAGCCAGAGGCTCTATCAGGGAATGCCTGAAGCACTGCCATTTTCAGATCATTCTGCCAAATTTTGTATTTTCTGTCAACATTTGATTGTACTGCACAGAGTGTTTTATTACATAGTATCTCCTTGAGACCATTACTGTTCTACTACCATTCCAGGTGTGGACAGCATGCACAACTACGAACAAGTTCTTCGGCAGATTCGGTATCGGAACTGGTACACCTCTGCCACCTTTGACAGGAAGTTCAGAGTCAAGTGCTCAGAGCTGAATGGACGCTACACCAGCAATGAATTTGACTTGGAGGTAAGTGATAATTAAGTTTTCTTTTCCAGCACTGAGGCTGAGCACTAGCCTATCTTCAACGACAGTAAGTTTTCTTTAAAATATGTAAAATGATTGATAGGTTCTGGTAACTATAATCAAATAGAGTTAATAGAGTATAATCAAATAGTTCCATAAAAATAGGGACTTGACTTCTGCGGGCACTCCTCAATGTGGGACTGCCTATTCTGCTGCATATGTAAAGAGATGACCCTTCTCTTGAACTCCAGTAACACGGGGAATTACTCCTGTGCAAACAGAAGGGACTAAGATCATCACCATTGTTTTTCCATGACATAAAATCTCCTACAGGTCTTTCTGAAGATTTATACACCTGCTCAAAAGTAAGTCATTACAGCCTCATTATTTTTCTTAGATTAGTTATTTTTTAGCTTAACCTGACATACTTTTTATTCCTTCAGCATTCACCTTTTCATTTTTTCCAAGTACTACCTCCTTACAGTAAGTTTTATAGTTTGTTCTTCATCAGATGGAGATCATTCATGGTAATTTACATGATTTCACATTTCTTTGAGGAGGAGAGTCAGTATGCAGGTAACGAATGCATCGGATGGACTTCATCTGTCATGTTCTCTTGGATCCACTGCCCAGACATGGTCAGTCACCACAGGAATACTTACATAGCTCTCTTGAGCTTACGTGTGCCGTTACTAAGTGCAGTGCAGTACAATGGCTTGGGGACTGAGAATTGCTACTGATGCATCTCAGCAGGAATTGTTCACCTATTCTGAAGAATCAACTTATCCAGCCTAGAACCCAGGTGCCAAGTAACCACAGGAAAGGGGCAAGACCCTCTAAGCAACAGGCTCAAAACTTAACAATTGGTTCTGAAAGTTTTTAGATGTTTCTGCTGCATTGAAAATTCTTTTCACCTCAGCATTCCTCAGCAGTGACAATGACTTCAGGGTTTTTGCTTATGACATAACTATCAGTAGGACAGAGAACAGATCGTATCTTCAAATAAATTCATTCTGAAAGTAGAGACACAGGAAAAACTGAAACCTCTTTTAATTTTCTCTCACTGTTTTGGATTTAATCTCAATGAGTTTAATACATTCTCTGTCAATATTCAGAGTGACAAATCTCCCACTAACTGTCAGGGAACACCTAAAAGCTGATTAGTACAGAGAAAAAAATGTCTCTACTTATCCAGACAGGTAAGTAAAAAAAAAATCCTTTTCTGTGCCACTCCACAGTCTACAGCTAGAAATGTTAGAATGCATTTTTAATGTTAGAAATCAGAAATATATTAACCTGTTTATTTTTCACTAGGCTAAAAAAAAAAGTGAATTTGGCCTTTAAGATCTGCTTAATAATTTTCCTATCTGTTGATGAACTTTATAGTTCAGTGTAATGTATGGAGCCAGCAGGAATATAGGGCACTTCTTTTTAGTATCTGGTCTCTTCTTTTTTCTCTTGTGCCAGGTTAATATTCTACACAGCTCCAACTCCAACTTCATGGACCAGGTAAATCATATGATAGTAGAACCGCAATTTCTCCAATCTGTCCACCACCCAGAGGAAAGCAGAAGTGCTGTTCACAACTCAGGTATGTGATAACTTTACAGAGCCTGCTCGTAGTGATGCTGGTCTGTCAGTATTTTCCCTTGTGATCCAGCTTCATTAACAAATAAAGCCCTGAAGTCCACAGTTAAACCTCACACAGATCATTGCACAGATATGAAAGAAGGTAACACTGAATTATCTTCTTTCCGGCGAGGTACTTTGTAATTAAAAACTGGTATCCTGTTTTAAAGTCTTCATTAAAGGTTATGTACTCTGACCCACATAGTTAAGAAAATGTCTCGTTTCAAGTATTGAATGGTATGAAGAATAATATTTATGCTCATATTGTCTTTGTACATCTGTATTTCTGTGGCATATTAATTTCTGCCCACTCCTTTCTAAGCAAGAGATGTTTGTATTATTTTTTTAAATATATAATTGCTGCAGTGCTTCTGTTAGCTGCTGTCCAGGCCTCAGTCTGGAGCTCTGGAGAGAAGACAGGTCCACACATCCATGTGCAGGGGAAATTAGTATACATTAAATACAGAATTTAAATTGAATATGTGGACTATATGAGTTAAAATCTGAAGCCAAGTCTGAAGCCTTTTCAATCAAGTTGTTAAACCCAGGACAAAGATACCTGTTTAAATGCTAGATTCTGAAATCCTTTCAGCTGAATGATACATATGTAAAGAAGTGAAGCTGATGTAAAGTGTAGGTAGTTGTAAGTAGTTATACCCCGTTATGCTTAGAAAATTATTGTATTTTTCTGTACACTTCTACAGACATTTTACTAAAATTAAATTGAATTTCTACAAAATTAAATATTGTAAAATAGTTCTTTCTTCTTACCTTAATATTGTTCTGATTTGAGAGTTCCATTCTCACAGCCAGGGCAAGGTGATAACATGGGGTACAGAACTACTCTAGCTCCTGGAACTGCAGTACCCAGGTAGCAAAGCTACATAGAAAGTGGCAGCACTTCACTAACCTAATTATGGAGCTAATAATGTAAGTGAGTTCAGAGAGATTTCTTCCTGTGACTAGGTAGAGACGGAGTGATTTAAAGAACAAATGGTAGGTATACTCACTTTTTAGTTATGATTTATAATGCTCATTATAAGGTATCTGTGAACGCCGTTTGTGTATGCCCTGCCTTAGTAGGTGGGCACTTGTCAACCCTCTCCGCAGTCCCAGGCAGACAGTGTATGGCTGTGCTGATTCTCGATCCAAAGGTGGAGAAACTGAGGGGAAAAAAAACAGGCAATGTATTTAGTGTTTTGTAGGCAATTTGTTCAACAAATATAAACCCATTCCCTTTTCCGCCTTTTGTTCCAGTTGTTCCCAGTGTGGCTACTGTTGTTATCATAATCTGTGTGAGCATTCTCATTTTCATCGTAACCTTGGGGGTCTATCGAATTCGGACAGCTCATCAGCGCAGCCCCGGAGACAACGACGGAAGTAAAGAAAATGAAATGGATTGGGATGACTCTGCTCTGACTATTACCGTCAACCCCATGGAGGTACATAACTGAGGCCCAGTATTATATCACGATACTGCCAGCAGTTATTGTCTGGCCTGGTAGCTTACTCAGCAGGGAGCTTTGAGCCTCTTTCAGAGGACACTTACTTAGGCTTGGCAGAACAGTTGTATGGATGGACACTCAGGAGCCCATCTCAACTTTCAGCTCCACACCCAATGATAATATGTAATTGAGCACTTAATATTTGTTGTCACATATAATTACTAAGTAGGATGGTGAAGACTACTTGGGTACAACATTACCATCCATATTTGCACCTTAGGTACCCAAGATGATCTTCTTGCTTTGTTTTTCACTTTTTAATGTATGCACTTATACACTAAAAGGTTGGGAAGTGATCACCAGTTTAAAGAAACTGACAAGGAAGGGTTAAATTTTGGCAGCTTAACTAACAGATATTGCTTATTGACATTCCATTCTTGTTACACTAGTTTTTGAGTATTTTCTACTGAATTGTATCATATTTGATGCCTAAGAGTCACATAATGATGGAAAGCAGATTTTCCCAGCATGTTAGCATTTCTAAATGTGGAATAAATGCTCACATTCTCACTGCCACTGGCTAGGCAAGAAGGCACTTTTCTTCTACTGTCTCTCTTTCATTTCTTTGAATGCACTGTAGAAATATGAAAAGCCTCACCAGACAGAAGAGGAGAGTGAGGAAGAAGACATAGAAGATGAAGATGAAGACACAACCAGTGCTGAATCAGATGAAAGTGAAGAAGAGGAGGAGGAGGAGGAGGAGGAGGAGGAGGAGGAGGAGGAGGAGGAGGAGGAAGAGGAAGTGATTGTCCAAAAGGGAGACAAACAGAATGTCACCAGGCAAGAGCAGTTGGAGTGGGATGATTCAACCCTCCCGTACTAACAGCCCTTCAGCCACATTGCTCTTTTGTAACAACCAATACAATGCTTTTTCAGAGTCTATGAATTCATTGACAGGATTTGAACTTCTGCTTGCCTATAGCTCTTTTGCCTAAAATGACCTTGTTGTACGAATTGATAATGATAGAACTGACCCTTTTCTTACAAAGCCTGGAGAAGACATGGTACAAACATACTGGCATCACCAGTGCTAGAGTAATCTAGAACTTGATCTGTTAGCAAGCATAGTTCTCCATTTCCTGTTTCTCTACCACAGATAGGTGACAAAAGTCCTGTCACTCAATCCATAGAGGGTTTTTGCCTTTGCTATTTTTTTCATACAGGAGAGATTTCAGCTTGTTATGGAGAATTACTTGTGTGGGTCTAAATAACAGTTGCCATTTGACTTCACACTCTTACAGGTGTAAAATATAATCCACCTTCAAATTGGGGCAGTTTTAGTGCTACAGGTGACAGAGACTGAATTCCATTTGTCGTCTTGTCCTGCCTTCTTGGATGTTAACTGTCTTCTACAAGGAATATCTAGGACTTGGCACAGGATGCATGTGTGCCTGTATAGAAGTGGACAGTGTATTTTTCAGGCATGCTGTCAGAACCCTTGGGATTTTATCCAACCCACCCGTAGAAACTTAAGAGAGTTTAAAAAAAAAAACCAGCAACAATAAGGGGCTGCTGCAGATTACAAAAAAGACCCCAAAATCATTCTGTGTCCAGAGACTGAGTAATAGGATCTTATGCAAACTGTAAATTCTAATGGGATTGATTTACTGAAAACCTGTAGAGCTTCTCATTAGTTATGGATTGAGCAATTTGCAGCAAATCGATGTTTTAAACTGTCTGTCTTGTAAAATCATTACCTTACTGCAGTACCTTACTGAGGTAGTGGAAAATAAGTGACTCCATTATTCCATAGCTATGTACGGTTGGATTTAAACAATGATTTTACATGAGGAAAATGTCCCCTTTTGCTTTAGTGATTGCCAGCTGGAATTCCTGTCTGACTGTATTCTATAAAACATTATGCCCTATTTCTTCTGTACCCTTACCCACCTATGAGTGGCACAAGAGAAAATGGCAACATACAGAACTGTCAGCTCTCTTTTGTGCTTATAATTCTCCCTTATTTCTTCTTCCTGAAGCCATTAATGTTGAGGAAAGGTTTTATAAAGTAGAACAAGAACAAATAAAACCTACCTGGAACCAAAAGAAGTGAAAACAAAAACAAAACTCTTAGAGGCTGAGAGAGTATTTTAGTTTGTTATGGTAACACAGCATATTTTTCTTAAACACTGTTTAAAAAGAAAAAAAAAAAAAGAAAAGCTACATACAACGTGTTGATAAGTCTGTGTGGTGTGGGTTTTTTTGTCCCCTCCCCTCAATTACCTTTGCATCTTCAAATGCTCTGCATACCAAATGATGCAGCACTTGCTAGGATAACTGCTCTAATGCATAAGAAACCAAAATGGCATGGAAGTGAATGCTGCCTAGTGGCTTCTCTGTTTTCTTTCTAAGTACTTCCTTTTCTTTACCATTTCATCATTGACTTTAGCTTTTGTAATTTGCTGTTTAAAATTATCTGCTTCCTCTTCTCCTCTCTCCCAGAAAAACAAGCAGTCTTCCTGAGCACCCATAAATGTTAGTTGATATTGCAAAGAAAAGAGTAAATTCAGCCACCTGGAGATTATCCATCTCCCTCAACACTAAATTATTAGCAGCTCCTGAACATCTTGGAATATAGAGAATATATTGTGGTTTGGGGGGGTTCTTTTAATTCCAGTTTCTGCAACAGATAGTTGCGGGGAAAGATTTACAGCAACTAGATCTTGTCATTTAATAACTAGAAAATAAATGAAAAAACCTCTAAATTCTTTTTTAAATTAGAGATCTTCATGCTCTTCTTTGTTGTGCCAATAATTGTGTTGGCATATGATTGTTAAGACTGGCACTAAAAAAGTTTTCTTATGTGAGCAGTTGTGTTTTATTTCTATTTTGGTCTCACATGTATTGAACATACAAGAATATTTGCAGAATCAAGCCCACATAAATGCAGTTTAGCTGCAAGAATAAAGATTGTAAAATTGCCAAAAAAATTCTGTTCAATAAAAAATTAGTTTTAAAATTTCTGAATATCTTTAACATAAATTTTGTTAGATCATTTCCTAGCATCTTACTATCCTAAATAACAAAATATTTTTTGTTAGTGACATGAAGCAGGCTCTTCATGATGATTGTTATCAGCACATATCAGCAAAGCTTTCTGCTCAGAAAAAAATAGATTTAAAATTAAAAGTAGATATTTAAAAGGCAATTTAAGATTTAAAACTGGACTTAAATTATTTTTAAAGTTTTTTGTTATTCCTGATTATTATTATTTCTGTTATTACAGCAAACATTAGGGCAACTTGAAAACAGCAATTTACAACCTTATTGACAGCCTTCAATTCTTTTATATGTTCATGTCTTCATCAGTGTGTTTCTCCATCTAATAGATTTTTATCTTTTTGTTACTGGAAGCAAATCTTTTCAGGTTGTACTGGTACACTACACAAGAAGCAAACAAAGTATTTTCTCTACTGTAAATAAACCTACATTTTTAAACCTAAGCAAAGTAATACAGGCACGTGTGTTATCGCTAAAATTTGGTTTGCAACAAGATATTCAGCAAACTAAAATGTATCACTGTACTTATTTTAGATTACTCATTGGAGCGTGTTATGCAGCATTTTTCATTCAAATAAACAGAAAACTCCTTTTCACAAAATGTTAGTGAGAATGAGATACTTCTTCACAAAAAAAAAAAAACCTTGGAATTAGAATATTCATGTAGAAGTTGACAGCAATCGCTTCATGAGCAAAAGCCTACTAGTAGAATAACACAGAAATACCGCTTTTTTGACATAATGTTAACAATATTTCTTCCCCTCCATTAATTATTTTTTGATGTAAACTACATGCTTAAAACCAAACCAGAACATATACACATATGTTTGCAAAGGTGGCTTTTTCTGACAAGGCAGCCTTAATACATGACATCAGGAGTCTGTCTAAAATGCCATCACATCAATGAATGTCAGTCTTTAGATTTTTTTAAAGTCTAATCTAAGGCTGGGAAAAGCTGCAAGACCTACAAATGCAAGTTCAAGATGGTGATACACTCTGTTATCTGCATTAATAGAACTTACTAAGTTGCTTTTTGTGGTCAATACCTCAGATTTGTTTTTCATGTCTAACTCCTCCACAGGTATTTTATCTTTGCAAGAAAACATTAAAACATTTACTGCATTGGCTGATACCAGTTCAAATTACAAATAGACGTGTAGAGTTCATGACACCTTTAACACTAATTAAAATAAAATGCTGTTATTTGTTCATTCAAACAGGCAATAGTATCCTGCAATGCTGGCTCGACTGCTCTTGAACTGGTGATGATCTCCCTGGCTGAGGGCTAATGGGAAGGTGCAGTTTATTTCCCTTTCTGGGGTGTTGGTGCTGGGCTTGCTGCGAGCACATGCATCCTTCTTACTTCATTCAGGAGAAAAGTAAGACTCAGAAAAGGTTAGAGGGTTATAAAGTTCCTCGGGTGGGGAGGAAATCCACTGTCTCCATTGCAGGAGCTCTCCTTACCTGACCCTAAGCTGAAAATAACATCATGGGACATTAGTAGCCCCAGGTTAAGGACTGATCAGAGGGTACTTCAGTAGCAGCCTTACCATAGTTTGGCAACCCCTTTTGAGCCCTGCACCTAATTTATGTCTCAGTTGTCTCTTTCTTTGACCTATAACCCAAGAGGCAGCTCTAATGCTCTTACCTGGTGGGGATGCCAGCAGGCTGGGACGTGACACTTCCTCTTCTGGAAGTTTTGGTGCCAGCACATGCACCGGGATGAATACACCTCTGGATGATCCCTGTAGCTGCTGACCTTTACTTATTATCTGGATAAGGCAATTCTCATACCCCAGTTGGGCAAATCTAAGGGAGAGAGAGAAATTAAAAAAAAAACAAAACAAAAAAAACTCCATTCATCTCCACCATCATCCATGCTTAGGAGAAGAGGAGGCTGAGAGACTTTACTGATGTGATAATGGGTAACAGTCTGCTAGGATGGATGCACGGAGCTGCTTCTGGTATCCTGAAATATACATTAAAATACCAAAATAAAGGATGTTTGCAAAAGCATATGGATACATAGAGAGTGAGAATATCTCCAGGACTTCAAAAAAGCCTCTTCTTGCCTTAATTCAGACATGCTGACTAGATTAAATGGCTCAATACCAGTATATCCCCACCATGCAATGCTTATTGCAAATGACAATAAAACCTCATAGTAAAATACAATTTACATATAAGCAATTTCCAGGAATCTAGCAAAGATCTGCCAAAGGAGCCAAGTGCTAAAAATCTTAATGTCTGACATCGTGGCTAACATCTTAATTTTTTTTCTTGGCAAATTTGCTTCACCTCTCTGGTGTGTAGCTGTTTCCTGGATGTATACTGTGTACTACTTCTGTACTACTCTTAAAGAAACCAATAGATTAACAGTAAGAGAACAGCTCATTTGGCAGAAAAACATACATGTCATAGCTTGTGAAAACAGGTGTCTTAAACATACTTTGGTATTTGTTTTTGGATGAAATCCTGGTGCTGAAAAAGAATCTGAATGTCAGGAATCCAAATTTTGGACAAATATTGAGAGTTGCCAGACAGAAATAACAGTGATATGAGCAGAATTTTGCAAAATCATACACAAACCAATATATTGCATTGCATATATTTAATAATTTACATACATATAAAATTTAAGTAAAATCGTATGTATGTGTATATACATGTAAAATATATTATCTGTATTGAAAATACACCTTGTGTTTGACTCCAGCATTTCCAGGTAGTCTCAGAGCAACTCCAGATATGCTGTCTGAATCCATTCAGGTTCATAGAAAATGCTGGATAAAAGTATATAGCATCTGTACCCTTAAAATGGGCCAATTTACAGCTTTTTAGGATCCCAGTCAGATGCTACTCATCTTGCTGGCTAGCTGGAAATGGCCAATGAGCTCTGATTCTGCCCTGATAAAATTACTGAACAAAAAAAAGTTGAAATATCTGGGAGAACCTGGATGTGCAGTAGCCTCATCTTGATGTTTCACTTACTTTTGACTTTAAGCCTTGGGATGAATACACCTCTGGATGATCCCTGTAGCTGCTGACCTTTACTTAGTATCTGGTTAAGGCAATTCTCATACACCAGTTGGGCAAATCTAAGGGAGAGAGAGAAATTAAAAAAAAAAACAAAACAAAAAAAACTGTCAAAGCAAAAGTAAAAGCACCTTTGAAATGAATAAAAACATTACTGTCAATTGTACATAATGCTGAGCTAAATATGATCTTCCTCATGGTTCAACCAGTATCACCAGCCATATAATAGCATTAGGTTTCTGCCTCTTCAGGATTCGGTCATGCCCCTGTCTCGCTGCCCACAGCCCACAAACCTCACACAGTACAAGTGCTGCTCCAAATGGCCATAAGACTGACAGCCACCCCTGGCCCTCAAAGATTTAGAAGTTGCCAAAAATCATCAACACTCCCATGCTTATGTCCAAACTATGCAACAGTTTCCAATCGAATATAAACATTTTCCATAGCACCCAGGAGCAAGCAGTTATCCTGTACAATCTTTGTACATTGGGTCTTTTATTTTTTTTTTTTTTTTTTTTTAGATAGCAGTGTGGGGCATGTTGTAAGGTGAAATGTATCAGGTCCCTTAATGCTGAATGTTTCAGATTTCCAGTGAAGGAGATGACAGTCTCAGATGAACCCACTAAAGAAAGTGTATCCAGTGATCAGAGTATTTGCTTTAGCACTCGACTGTTTTGTTATTTGTGTTTAGGTTTTTTTAGTTAGTCTCTACAGGAATCCAGATTTTTTTTCATTAGTGTGGAAAATAAAGACAAGTTTGAAAGATGACCACAAAAGCTACAGCAGAGTAACAGAGTAAAACACACACTCTGTTAACACACCCAATCCAAAGAAATATTTCTGCTAAATCTGTCAGGTAAATTACTCCATCAATATGTCAGAAAGTAATTATACTTCATTACCTTTGTATAAGTAGTAAGATACAAGCCTGGCGTGTAATGGGTTTTTTTTCTGGGCTTCTCCCCGCCCCCCAAAGAAGACAGAATCATAAAAATAGACATTCATAATGCTCCAACAGAGCAAAGTGAAAGGGGAGCAAGAGCTTTCATTTCATAAAACTCTGTCTAACAAAGATTATAAAACAATAAACAATTCTCACCCATATTATTGAAGCTTAACACAAGAAAATGAATCCAAGAGGTCTTGTATGTTCATAATTTCATTCCTGGTGATGAAAAAACCGTTACCAGATCAGGTCCCCGGCTTCCCAGGAGGCATTTTGCTGCCTTTTGGATGGATAAGTATCGACAGTGGTTCACTAGTTACAGTTTCCATTTCTCTGCTTGTAAATAGGAATAATGATACTGAGCTCCTTTGCAGAGCACTGGGAGCCCTGGAGATGGAAAGCACTGTCAAGGAGCTTGGTGGTGTTACGATTCAGTAATTCTGTTGCAGCTCTACTCACAGCCCTCCATTGTGGAGCACCCTGTGCACAGGCAAAACGAATGACACAATGGTTACAGTCAAGAGCTCTGGGCTCCTGTTTCATTAGTTATCGCCTAGGAAGAAACACAATAGTCTGAAACATTACAAACATTTAAAACAAAGTTTGGAGTTCATTCCTATTTTCAATTCATGTGGAAATCGTGCATTCATCAGCTGTTGAAGCTACGGGGCCATGTATTGTCAGTATTTATGCCTCTGCTGAGGACAAAGAAGCAGAAGAATTTTTTTTCCCAGCCAAGTACATTGTAGGATAAAAGAGTGCAGCTTTCACTAGGTGAGGTGCATAAAGGCTGCCAAATGCAAAGAGAAACTGTCACCAAATGGGGGACAAAGGTTTTACAATTGTATTCTACCCTTATACTTCAGAAACCCAGAAAATTTCATGGGAGTAAAAGGCCTTTCTGCTGCCCTAACTATTCATTTTGTATAAATCTGGATACAGCTTGGGGTTTTCAGAGGCCTTTAACTTCCTCACTGGATATAAAGTTCATTCAGCTTCCTGTTGGCATGTTAACCCATAAAGTATTTTTTGGCAGAAATTTTCAGGCTATCTTAAGGAAGAAAACCACCCAAACAAATTGTTAAAATGATAATATTTTTCCCTTTTCTTTCTACTCTGCCTATATAAACAGATACCAAGGACTTGATCAGATAACCCTGATCAAGTTTGTGACACAAATGACATTTCAAACCAGTACTGAAATCAGCAACAAATTCTTGTTTACAATCTGCTTAATGTGCACACATATAGATGAGAAGGTGGATGGTTGTTTTATCTCAGCATGTTCTTTGGAATGTGGAATGGATCAATTGCAGTCAGATATTTTAGAAAATTGAAGTATCATTTAGGGAAGAGTGAAAGGGGAGGTAGGAAAGAATAATGCATGAATAACAGACAGAAAAGCATTAAAGTTTCTAGTTGATGTGAAAAAAGCTGGAATTTAATCATCTAGAAATGAGAGATTAAAAGCTTGGCAAATGGTAAGAAAATGGAAACCTGTTCTTTTCATGTCCAGAAAGGACAGCTGTCAGCTATCAACAAGAAGGAAAATGGGTAGAGGATGTTGAAGGGTCTGAGATGACCACGTGTGTATATGAGCACACACATAAGTGTATTTATCCAAAAAAATCACCTAATCATGCCCAGCACAGAGGTGGTGGTTGTAGTAATGAACTAGAACCTTAAGTTACAGAGCACAGTTGCTGCTGTCTGTAGCTGCTTCATTAGTTCCACTTACACCACCTCCAGCAGCGCTGGGAAGGGAGCAGGACCGTGACAAATATTGCTGGACTGTGCCTGCATTAAATAGGAACTGCTTTAGGGCCAAGGCAGGCCCACGGTGATTTGGGCCAAAACGTCTTGTCTGTAGTGACTCAAATTTAATGGTACAGTTGCCATTTAAATTACATTTTAATTTGAGGTAAGAAACAGAACTTTTCTACACAAGACAACTGCGTTAATTAGTTTCAGAGATTTTCTACAACCAACATACTCCATGGATTGGATGAGGAACCGGGAACACCCAAGAAAGACTGTACTCCATGTTGCAAAGGCCCTTAAGTAAACTTCTTGTAATGATCCAATTTCCTAAGTGACCACATAGTTAGGAATCTTGATTTTTGAAAATACACAAGATACAAAAAATTTTCAAGGATAACAATCATCCCTGCAAAATTCTGAGACCTGAAGCTATCTCCATTTTGAAGCATGTTTATTGTTAGATCTTCCACAAACTGATCCAAAAAATGTGAGGTACATCTCAAAAGATGAGGTTTTTTATATTCTGTTGTAAATAACACACCACCAGAATCTCGAGTAAGTACTTGATGCTGGTTAACAGGCAGTTCTGTTCAAAGGGTCATTGCAACAGGGATGGTAATACCTGAGTGGGTTATCGCTTTGCAGAGTAATACACACAATGGTCAGGATTCCTAATAATGGTTTCATCTAAATTTCAATGTGTTTAGAAGTTGCTGCTAGACTCATTAAATCCTAGAAATAAAGATTAGTAGACAGGAAAAAAAAAGTAGTACAGGTAGAGTATTATGCTAACGGTGCCGAATTGTTCCCTAGAATATATTTTCTAGTGTTAGGGGTGGGGTGTTTCAACCTACTTAAATGTTTCTAAGCCTGGGGCTTCTACTTCTTCCCTTGGGAGATTATTCTAGAGTCTATTAGAATTCACCATTAGAAAGCTTTTCCTGATAATGAATTTAAATAATCCTTTTTGTAATTTTTATCTCATTAGTCCCAGTTATACCCTTTTGCACCACCCTAAATAATTCCTCTAACCATGATTTATATCCTTTGAATATTTTTAGATAGTTATCATGTTCGTTGCCTTTGGTGATTGATTAGAGAAACTATGAATCCTTCCCTCCTCCTTCCAATTCACTCCTTCAGTCTCATCTTTCCTTACCTTTTCATGTAATGTCATTAATAGACAAACTAAAAAAAAAAAAGGTATTTCCTTAAATTAGTCATGGTCAGTTCAGTCAAAGTGCTTTGTGTTGGTGTGTGTGTCACTGCGTAGTTTGTCAAAGGTTAAACAATAAATTTATATTGAAACTTGATTTTTTAAAAAGTCTTTGCTGTAATCTATGGATAACTTCTGATATAATATGAATTTTGCAGTGTCGCTATGATTAAACAAAGCCAACCAATAAACATTAGAGCCAATCAAACAATAACACAAGGTAGTAATTTGTTAAAATTTAGATTGTCATCATTAATTTGAAAACAGACATTGTCATTCATGTGCCCATGCTTTTAAGTGTCCCTACTATTAGCAGTAACTATTACCAATTCATTGCTTTAAGACAGATTAGTATATGTTGTTTCTCCTCAAATCTCATTGGCCAAATGCACCTATTTTCTCAAACAAGTACTCAAGATTTCTAGCCATATGTTAACTGCTGCAAAGAAATAGAATTGTGCCAGCTTTTCTGAGTACTGCCATGCCTAACATTATATTTCAAATTTGCAGTGCATTTATGGTCTCTGACTGGCTGGATGACTATATGGGTAGTTTTCAAGCATATTTCAAGGCAACCTCTGTTCTCTAGCTCAGAAGCCCAAAAGCACAGACAAACAGGAAGGATGTACAAAGCCATCTTGGGCCTTTTAATTGATGCATTTCCTTCTACCCCAACCTTCTGTACCTGAGAGCCAAAACAGAACTGAAATCCTTATGCTCAAAGACCCACTGCATCCCTAAGCCCTGAGTGAAATAAAACCACCTTCCTCATTTGCTCTAAAAGGATTGATTGTAGAAGAGAGAGCAGGCACACTAAGCCTTCCAGTGTTGACTTAAGGGTACTATACACTTCCCTCAGCACATCTCTGTCCCTCAGAGGTGTCAACTAGCATTGTAAAATAATGCTGTAGGGAATGACGAATTGCTATCAGAGGGTTTAAGTCACATGATAGAACAAAGATGTGGCATTGGCCAATACAATGGATGAGGAAAATTAGTGGAAATCCCTTTCAATTTGCTACAAAACTCCATTTCATTATAGTTTCCTGTCCGCCTCTGCCCACCTTTCCAAAACCAGTCATTGCATGAAAAGTCTAATAGATGAGGTGGGGAGATGATTAAGCCTTGCAAGGTGAGGTTGCAATGCAAAGGGAGAGGAAAAGAAGAGGAATTCCTGAGCAAGGAACTGTAAAACACAAGTTAAGTTGTGATGAGCAGGGGAGCAGAATTCAGACATTCACCCTGAATATTGCTGGAGTTCGGTGGGAGGGGTTGTTTCTAGTTAGAATTAACCATATGGTTATGAAATATATGTTATTGAGAGCGTAGGATTTTGAAGAGCTGAGAAATAATCTCATCACGCTGAATCTAACAGCTCTGATCTTTAATTGACTGGGACAATCCTATTTTATATTTCATCATAGCTTGAAGTAAAAGCCATGCTTCATTTGCCTGCAAAAATGTAGAACTTTTCACACACAGTTCACTTTTTCCCAGATTTGCTTCCATGTTGGTGCATTAGTTCTCGTTGAGGAGCAGTACCTGCAGTTGGATGTATTTTATAGCTTGGGATTGCCTCCTAGCAGTCCAATCTCTGTGTAGCTGTGGCCACTTCTCTTGCTAATAAAAAATATGCCAGATGGGATTCAAATAAACTTATCCTGTATGGTTGTGACCCCTTAAGTGTGTTTCAAAGCAACAGATTCTTCAGTTCAGGAGAGATGCTCATTATATAAAATATCTTAATGTATATGTGAAACAATCATAAATCACATCTTGAAATGTCTTGTTGCAGATGCTAAATGCGTTTATGAAAGTGTGAATCTATACAATTTATGCAGAATGACGAATTAAATGACTATATGCAATTAAAAAGGTGAATTTGAACTGAAAATGATTTTTGAACACAGATACAAATCTGCTGTTTGGGTTTTTTTTTTAAAGACCTTTTCTTTATGAAAATGTACAGTAAATTTTGACACATAGTAAAGTACATGAAACCTAACTTTACGTCTAGTGGGAATAAGTTGTACAAAAGTCTTTCCATGTCATAGTGGTATATTTCATTAAAACCATGTCACTTTGCACAGTCATTTATGAATTTGAGATTGTTAATATCCTGATGTTTTCCACATGATTGATTAAATGCATAATGGAAATAGATCTGTTATTTTAAAACTTGGCCTGTACATCTGTACATGTATAAAACCATATTCATTTTTGTGGTCACTCTGGCACTTTCTGTGAATTGGCCAATAAATTTAATTTTAGAATTTCACATAAAAGGTAATGTCCTGTAATTTTTATTTCACCAATTATCGGGATGTTCTCATTTCCTGAACAATAACCCTTAAACACTAACACTTCTTGTGGCAAAGGTTAAATATCTGGTCTATATCTGTCAGCTTTTTTACTAATTCCTAGGGAGCAACATGTCACGTGCCAAAAGACTCAGCAGGGGTTTAAAGCATCTACATAAGTTTTCATCGTTCTGCTGAGAATATGGCAGGGGAAGCAAGGGAAAGGGAACTTTTTGAAGACTTGTTGGTATTTACATTTAATAGCCATCTATTTTCACACTTCATTTTGGTCTGATAAAAGATGATAGAAAAGTAAGGAGAAAGATGATTATACTAGATATTACACACATAAACTGTGAAATAGTACAAAGGGAAAAACATCATTTTGAGTCATCGGCCTATGAATTTCATTTGCACATGTAAGTGATAGATGTGATCTCATCACCTGACTCCTTTTTGCTCTGCCTAGAGCTCCCCTCCTCGTTAGCTACTCAGACTCAATCTAGTTCTTTAATGAGATGTTACACTGATTACATAATATATGATTTACAAGTCACAAGACAATAAAAACTCAACGTATATGTTTCCTTACCTGTGCCCAGTTAAGTACGCGACATCAGCTGTATAAGATATGATTCAGATCTTTCGAATTTTCAGAAGGGTCCAACTCCCACTTCAGCCTTGGTGAAAGGCAAAAGCCTGTTATGCAATACCTGAACAACAAATGACAAAGACCAACATTCCTGTTACATGTAGCCTGTAAAGCCCCTAACAGGCTGTTAAAATTTAAAAAAAAACTTCCTGAAGAACCACTAAATGCTTTTCCAGAAATGTTATTTAAATATAGCATATACACTGGATACAGTATATACTTTGAAAATAGCTTTGCCTATACAATTAAGATATACATCTAAAATGTCTGCATATATGAAGGTCAAGTATATATAAAATGTCATAAAACATTATCATAGTTATCTATAAACATGCAATAGCCTAAAGGACCTTTTACTAAACATGATCTTTTCCCAAGTCAAAATATGTAATGACTCATTCAGAGCAAATGAAATATGTATAAACAGTTGACAAATATTCATTTTTAGCATCTTATTGACCTGTTGTTATTTAGGCTGCAAAAATGAATAAAACTCATTTTTTACATAAGAGAAGAAATATATACCTGAGCAATTGTTTCCAGTTTTGAAGATTAGCCTTAAATAGCCTACAAAATAACTTACACTTTGTCTTCTTGTGCTTGCGTACAATTTTTCAGTTCACAAAAAGAATATAGCTGTATTATATAGCCTAAGGGCGTTTGCTTGACATTTTTTTCTGGCTTAGAAAAAAGAAAAATCTGACCTGTAAACCTCATTTATACTCCATCCAGCCTGAAAGGTCTGTTAGCAATCTGCCTTTGCTGACTAGAAGGAACCTTGCAAACAGGTGTACATGGGAGGTCTGCCTTACACTGCAGACATACCATTGCAGAATGACTCCAAAAGGATGGAAGGAGCAGCTGACACACTGAAGGGCTGAGCTACCATTCAGGCAGACCTCACCAGGCTGAAGAAATGGGCTGACAAAACTTTAGCAATGGCAAATGTGGAGCCCTGCACTTGAGATAGAATAACTCCCTGCAACAGTGCAGGTTGGGGGCTGAAAGGGTAGAAAGCAGCATTTTGGAATAAGACTTGTGGGACGGCAGGTTGGGTGGACACGGTGCACGTGAGTCAGCATTGTACCCTTTTGTTGGTCTAATACTGCCTGCACCAGTAAGAGCACTCTAATGGGTCAAGGAAAGCAATTATTCCCTGTATCTGTAATTAGTAAAGTTGTATCCAAAATTGTGTGTTCCATTTTGGGTTCCCCAGTACAAGACACTGACAAACTGGATAATCCAGGATTGTAAAGGATCTGGAGTACAAAACAGATGAAGAGAAGCTGAGAGCTGAATTTGCTCAGCCGGGAGGAAAGGGAGGAAGGATCTAATTGCTGTTCTCAGTTACCTAATGGCCAGGCTTTTCTTGGAGGCACAACCAAAAGGACAAGAGGCAACAGATGAAAGTCACAGCAAGGGAAATTGTGATTAGACAGAAATTCACAGTAGGCACGGTTAAACACTGGAACAGGGTGGCTGAAGAACCTCCATCCATTGAGACAATCAAAATTTAACAAGTTGAGGCCCTGATCTGACTTTAAAGTTGGGTCTAACTTCAAGCTTGCTCTGAGGTGAGGTAGTGGGGGTTGGAACAGATGACCTCTAGAGGTCACTCCAAACCTAATTTACTCTGACTGTGCTGTAACAGTTTACATGGGTTACTGGGGTTATGTTTATTGACTAAACGTCTCATTGTTTTACTTTGAATGGTATTGCCTCATAGTTTTTTGAGACCTGGTGGTCCACAATTCCATTTTCACTGGTAACAGTCTACAGGAGGAGTGAGGTTTCATAAATCCCTCATACGCATAAACATGACTTTGGTATAAAGTTCCACTTCCTCTTTACCTAAGGAGAGCCAAGAAGATGCATTTAAATAATCCTTCCCACGCTCCTGAAAGGTTATTCCCTTTAGTGTAACGGGATTAAATATGGTCGTTTTCATTTTTTAATAATAAAGCTTCCTGAGGGCCTGAAATATTACTTAGGAGTAGCTGTGCTGACTGCACCATCCAAGCAAGGCTCCAAGGCCTGTTTTCTTAATAAAAAAAGAAAAACAAAAAAAGAAGAAAAAAGGTTTTAAAATCTAATTATCTTTCCCTCCTTAGAGAGAAATTTTTGCCTGTCTCTTCTCCTCTCACCCTTCATGGCAATCTGGGTTTATACTTTTTTGTGTGCCATTAGTTAAAAGAAAAAAAAATAAAATAGGAAAGAAAGATAATTGTATCACACATTAGTCCCAACCAGATCAACCATTAACTCCTGGCACTCTCTCTAAATACAAAATATAGGTCTACTATGGAATGACTTGAAAAGACATACAAGTCACCACAGGTTTCAACCATGCATTTTGTTTCTAGCAATTTAAAGGGCTGTAACACCTGCCAAAAATTCAGGATGGGCTTCTCAGAAGTCCTGAGACTAGGATCACAATGAAGTTGCAGTGATTTAAAGAAACAAAACAAAATGAGTTATGGGTGCTCTCAAAAAGGAGCACAAAATTTTCCACCCAATAATTTTCCTCCTTTTGTGACTATTTGTAAATAAATATTAGAAAACATTGTCGCTAATAACTAAGACAGAATGTTGTAACACATTTCATTTATAGATTTCTTGAAGAACTTCTGAAAAATCAGTAGAAATCAGTAAAAATCAGCCAGGGCATATACAGTTTCTATAACTCTCTTTGCAAAGAATTATTTATTATAGGACAGCTAATAATTTTGACTTTTAATTTTATCAATTGAAATAATTTCATAATTTCATTCCCATTCATAACTAAAAGCCTTTTTTGCCTTTGCAGGTTCTCTAACGACCTCTATGATCTTCCTTCCCGGCTTAAGAAAGCTTTCAAAAGTGGTAGTGTTTTAGTGTGTCTGAACAGACATCTCTAGTATCAAACACTATGCTAATTTTCCACAATTTAGGAAGCTGAAAACCTCCTAACACAGATGCACAAAACTTCAGCATTATTTTCTTAGTTCCACACACAAGACACGCTAGGAAGAAAAGTTGGAAATTAAAAGTTAACTGATACAAATAGCCTTTTCACTTACAAGTTATTGCTTGTATTATCACACTGAAAACATGAAACTAGAAGCTGGTCCTAGTCCCAGGATCAAGTGCAAAGCAGACAGTAGCAAGTATTATAGTAAGTAACAGAGATTAGCAGTAAGCTCTTATGTGACAGATATGGATGGGCCTGAAGACAAGCATTCAGAGATTTCAATGTTTTTTAAAAGTTGTAGTTACTCAGATGATAAACTATTACACATGAGATGCAAAAATATAAGCAGTAACAGATTTAGGACCAACAGATTTAGATCTGCCTTCCTGTCATGATGCAGATTATTCTGCAGAGTAAAGCAGCCAAACAGCACCAAGAGCTGCAGTACAGCTCTTCGTGGTCTACAGGTTGTGATTTATAGTTACTTCAGTTTGACTATAACAAATTCACTGAATGTAGACTAGCAACAGAATCTAGAATCTTCAAGGTTTGCTGCCTTCTACCACACACACTCACATGGCAGCCTTACTAAAGCAATGGCCAAAGATTTCCTCCTACCTTCAACAATGCTACCTGACCAGATCAGCAGCACTCACAGTCTTCCTGCCTCTTCTCTCACTCTCCCCAAGCAAGAAGTTACAGTCTGATGCTTTTCCTCAAAATACAACAGCAAGTAAATAAGACTACAGACAGTTTTTAAATTCCCCTGGATGCTTCTGCATGAAACGGTTTAGGGGAAAGCCCACCAAGGGGATCAAAGAGCGACATCCAGCTGGGAAGTTCCTAGAAACAGCAAATTTTTCACCTGGGAGTTGAGCAAATCCCACTAACTCCTTAACCAGAAATATCCACTCAAAAGAAAAAAAAAAAGTAAACAACAATAACTAAAAAGGATTTATAAACATATACAAATGAGAAAAATTGCTCCAGAAGTTCACAGAGAAAAATTAATCTGTGTAACAGATTTTGGTTAAACAAAATTAAGTCTCAGCAATCTCCAAATTTCCCAAGACCTCGCAAAATGTCGTCTGCAGTAAAGTTAGTGGTGTTACAAAGAGACATTGACAGAGGTGGGTACTAGACCCAAAAATCACTAGAGACCTTGGCGTGAGGAGAAACAGATATACTTTTCTGTGTTTTTAATTAGAGGGTTTAAATGTCTTCCTACTCTGACCTTTCAAAAAAAAAAAAAAAAGTTTAATTGTATAAGTTCCCTGAATGTAACCGTGGATAAAGAGGGGAAGATTATATTTAGACACATTATTGCAAAAGTCATTGTAAAACAGAGCTCATGTAAAAATACAAGCAAAACCTTTAGCATTT